ATTTTTTTGGTATATTTTTTTGATATTTTTACGTGAATCAAGTGTTCTGTATATAAAAAAAAACTATTTTTTCTTTGGGAAATAGCGAATAATAGCTAATAAACGGATAAATTTCGGATAATTTTTATTTACATATTTATTTTAATTTATATTATTTTTTAACTTCCTTTCAATATTTTAAAGCGAATAAAGTGTTCTATAAGTGAAAAAAAAATATTTGTCATTGTTAAAGAGCGAATAATGGCTGAAAAAGAGACTGAAGTCATATCAGAAGGCACGCACACATCACACCCCTTAACTCCCTATGGATGGTGTTTTCTACACTAGGGAGCGCTGCAAGCTCGGGACTGCCTAAATTTCCGGGTTACTGTTTTAGTTGTGTTTCAAAGCCATTTGGCATCATTGTGTTTTGAGATTCTTGCAAACAATGCATTTGATTACTTATTACTTATGTTTACAATGCTAACAATACTGTTTACAATACTAAAAGTGTTAACACTAACGTAATATGGTGCACAGTTTGCAACACGAATAAACAGTAATGAACAAATGGAAAGAGGTCAAATCAAGACTGCCAAAAAAGCGAGTTTTTCAAAATCTAGCAACCATGTCACCTTTTTTAATAATAAATAACAAAATAACTGAGACAAATTTTCACTCCAAACTCCCCAGAATTACATAATAACATTAATATCTTATGAAATACGGCTGATTTGAGCTCAGAAATTATCTAGTTTATTTCTTTTACCTAAAACAAAATTATCCGTTTGAAAACATCGCCTATCAGAATAACATGTAGTAAGCAGCTGCAAACTTTTTAACCGGAACTAGAGTAGAGCCCGAACTCGAGATTGTTATTGTTTACATTTCTATTGAAAACACCATCCATAATATTAACCTATAAATTTCAATCTCCGCCCAAAATTAGAGTTTAATATATCGAACAATTGTGACAAAGGATTTTTTATAGACTAATTAGTGGGCCCACAATGGGCTAAAATAAGTTTTGTTTACAAACCGGGAGAAGGTGTTTTAAGCTAAATATTCTCGGGGCAGGCATGTGAAGCATGGCACAGTTGGTAAAGCTGTGTGGCAAGTTAGATTTGCTGTCCCGGGGGCAGTGTTGCCAAGTGCTGATAACCGTTCACCCCCAGATGGCGTTGTAAAATCCCCTAAATTTTTTAAAAAAAACCCAAAATTCTAAACTTAATGTATAAGTATTAAAAAATAGTACAAAAGTTAAGTAATGTATATAAAACATTGGTTTAATACTTTTTAGTATTTTATAATTAACAAATTAATAATGTGCTGATAATTAAAAACAATGATGAACAATTGCACCATTAATTTACCTTTAAACTGCTTTTCGTGTTCCCAATCTTTCTTGTAGTTTTGTACATACTTCTTTTTTTCTTTATCCTTTGGCATTGTTTTTAAACCATGCACATCAAAAATTTTATATAATATGAATTCAAATTCTCCAAACGTACAGTATGATTGAGCTAGGTAATAACTTACTACATTCAACAAAGGGGTTAAGTTCTAAAATTAAATCTTAATCTTTTTGTTTTGGTTTAACATATTGATTTTCATATTACCATCTCACACATTCAGTTTTAAAACTTGATATTTGAGCGTAACCAAAATGAAACTAGTAAAATTCACAAATAACCCTAAAACAAACCCCTAAAAACAAATTCCCCTAAAATACCCATTGAAGATTAAAAAAAATCTCCCTAAATTTAGGGGGGGAACCCCTAATCTGGCAACACTGCTCCTGTATCTGAATAATGCATTTGGCACACATCCTGTTTTCTGCCGACCGCGATCAAAGGAGCGTGAATTGCATGCAGTGAGAACGGGGTCTTTAAAATACATCAATGCCCACGTATAACTTTCTATATACATTTAAATTGGTGGCAACAATTTTCGTTCTATTTGTATTTATATTTTCGTTGTTTAAAAAAGGAATTTCGCGCGCGATTTCTTGTAATTGTTTATAAAAAAAAATTCCTTTTATAATGAAGAACCTTTATTATTTATTATATGATATTTAATTTTATTTTGAAAAATCTTTTAAGTTTCTGGAAGACCTAGCTGATTTTTTTATTTTTGAAGGTTTAAAAGAAGTCAAGTAATGATCATTTCTGAAAAAATGATTAACTATCAAAATTATATTTATTCTGTTACTTTACTTTTTCCTATTACAATTGTTTATCCGGTCTCTCTGTCGCATCAATGATAATTGTGATCTTTTATATGATTTAAATCGTTAGAGGCCAATGACGTCTCTTAATGAATTCTGACCTATATACAATGTACATTTAATAAGAAATTTGTTATATTATGATCTTTTATAAAGCTGAATAATTTACTATTATCATGTCGCTGACCTATTAGTCTTACAATTTTAAGTGATAATTGAACAATTTTGAGTGATGTAAAAGTTCATTGCTCCCTGCAATACGCGAAACCAACAATTGATTCAACTTTATTCATTTATTACAGATAGAAACTTCTTGATTTTTAATACATGCTTAGTTTATAAATCTTACAGCGTTTGGAGGCGTGAAGTTTTAAACTGATTATTAAGCAATCTAAGCCAAATTTCATATCCATTGAATTAAAGTACTTAGCATTTTTAATTTGTAATGATTGAGGCCTTGAATAAACAGTAAGTACCCATAATTTTAAATAGGTAAACATATTAATTACCTTTTATGTATAGTTAATGTTCATGGTAATTTAAAATTTCGAAGGATCACTTATTTATAAATGATGTCTTCAAACAATTTACAAATAAACTATTTTCCCCTTAGTGATTTAAGTTTTAGAGTATTTCTATGTTTGTGTTGATTGCAATCGTCAAAACGCCACTTGTGTTTTTTTACTTGCAAATCAAATTATAATTCCATAGAAAAATAATATGTCATCACAAAGTTCTTTTGCAGTTGTAAGTAAAATTTGTACAGAATTACGAGCAGGGCTCACATTAAGGACTTCAAATTAGCAGCCACTAAGTTAGCCAGATTTCGAAAGTCTTATCCCTAAGCAAATCTTAATTATTTTTGATTAATTTTTTCCCCATGGAAATCTGCAAATCAAAATACAAATTTACTTTATTTTGTAGTAATCTATGAAATGCAAATCCAAATCAAGAGTCATTTTATAGTAGGGGAAGAGTAACCGAGTAATCAATAGGGAAAAAGGATGGAAAATTTAATGTTTTATTGTCTTTGAGGAAAAGAAATAAAAATAGGATTGGGTTGATTTTTGATAAAGTCTTACAACTGAGCAGTAATAAAATTATAAACCTGAAACAACTTTTGATATTATTTTTAGATTTTGACTTTCTTTTTAATATATTTCATTTTAAATAAAACATTTCTTTTAAGTCTTTTATTTTTTTAATCAAAGAAGTTATACTGTCACGATTGTAATCATTCGGTAGAAAAAAGATGGTGGTTAGAAGATAAGTTATTTGAGTAATTTAATTCTGTTTTGTTGGTTTTTATACTAATCACGAATATTTTTTTTATGGAAATTTTGACCGGGAATCTTAGCACATTCTTTGCTAGCCGCATGGAAGTCTCGTTGAAAAGTAGTTATCGACAAAGATAAAGTCAAAGTTAAAATTTCTTATTTTATTACCCATTTTAATTTTTATATTTTACAATGAGATTATTTTAATAAACGATATGTTATTTTTATGAGAAAGCATAATTTCTGCGAAAGTAATTGTAATATACATCTAACCACCCCTTGTGATGTATTTCACGGAATGATTAGTCTGTCAATGTATTTTACGCGAATTTCTGTAATCGAATAAAAAAGACAAGGTTTGTTCGGAAAAATTCACGTTCATGTATTTTCAGGATCGAGGTTATATTTTTCTTTTTGATTGAAAAAATCGTTTGCCTATACTTTCAAGAAAACTCAATTTGATGTGCCAAACTACTTACGATTTTATCGCATTTGGCAAGGGGGCTTAAGCAAGCTTGACACGAGCCCTGAATGAGTTTCTTTAAAAATGTGCATTTTTTAATAGTTGCTGCTCACAACATAGTGTTAGATGAAATTTGTCATTCTTAATTCTATTAAAATTCTCTTTTCTAAAAAATTCCATGGCTTCTTTGTAGGCACTTTGCACTGATTTATTTTCAAGACTTTGTTTAAAAAGAAAGGTTTTCATTATTGTTTTTTTATATTATATAATTCTTTTTTAGAATGCCTGTTAAAACTGTAGAGGAATCCAAAGTTGATGTGGAAAACATAAATGAACAGAAGATTGTTGAATTGGCGTTTAAAAACGTAAGCTTGTTTCTTTGTAGTTTCTGTATGAAAAGCATACTCCTGATTATCTGTTATGAGATTTCATTTGATACGTAAGAAAAATTTACCAAAACACGCTTGCACAATCATGAATTGTATCTTTGTTTCTGGCACATATAATAATAATAACAAAAACTAAACTCTAATTTTAATATTATTGTGGGCTTGTTTTTAACTTGTATAAAATATAAATTTTGAAATAAAAAATCTAAATGGGGTATGTTTACTCATATTCATAGGGAGATTATATTATTCATAGGGAGAGGATACAATTTTTTATTCAGCTGGGTAATCAGTTGTATGGACTAAATTCTATTTTTTAGTTTTTCTGTATGAGTAACTTCTTATAAATTTTTCTTTTCGATTGTTTGATGATGTTACACATCATTCAGATAATTCTGTGGCAGAATTTTTTTGGGCTTTCTGCGACCTACCTCTAATTCTAATATCTTTCTGCAAGATACTTGTAAAAATAACAAATATACATGTTACTAAATTAAAGTAACAAAAGCATCAACTTCTCAGATCAAATAAAATAATTTTTTAATTAAGTATGTAATATTTTTTTATTCTAATATTATAGGCTATATTCTCCCATTTTGTAGGGGGAAAACACACAAATTATTTCCTTTTTCACATTTTGTAAATCATCATCTCATTAAAAAGAAAATATATATATTTTTTTTTAAATCATGAAATCCGTAGCAGTAAATTGGACTCTTCAAAAAAGGGTTACTAGATGCGCGTTTTCATTTCGAGATTCAGTTGTTGTAATAAATAATATCATATTAAAAATATCTGATTTTAAACTATGTTGAAATCAATAGTAATTAACTGCATTTAAAAAAAATTATAACATGAAATTTTCTGCAGAAAAGAAGACCAAATTTTTTACTTCATTAATCTTTATTTCTCATTGTTCTCAAATGAGAATAGAAAAAGCATTTTTTCCACTTGTATGTGCGAGAAAGGCATCTTTTGAATATAATTCTGAAGTGATGATAAAATCTTTCTGCAAGAACGTTCTGCGACAATGTCACTGTGTTACCACGATACTGTCACAAGGATTAAATACATAACTGTTAACTGTTATGTAATTCTGATTCTTGTGAACTGTTGCAATATATCTTTCATAAAACTTAACTTGACATTTTTTATCATGTATCATTCTCAAAGTTTGCATGTTTATATTTTACATTACGGTTACAGTTTAAGTAGTCTAATACATTTTAACATTAAATTTTGAGCTCCTTTATGTCATAAATTTACGTTCTTTTATATTAAACTGATGGTTATGATCTATTATTTATTGTAGAGAAAGATAGTCTGTTTATTAATTTTTCCTAGGAATTACTTATATCAAGCTATACTACTATAGCTTGAAAATCAAGCTATACTCTATAAACTCTTTTTTAATAAATCTAGTATAATTTAAATGCATAATTTACTTTTGTTTATATATATTTTAATTCTTAATTAACAGATGTATTTAAATTCAATTTATTTATTGTTATTCTATTAAAAATGTAGTTAAAATTTGTTACATTATTACAATGTATCACATGTCCAATATTGCAAAAATATTTTATAGTAGTTAATGCAGTGATTCTCAACCACTGTGCCGCGGCACTTTTGTATGCCGCCAACTATTAGAAATGATACAATAAAAATTATAATGCTTTTTTTATTATGAGTAAAGTTTAAATTAAAGAAAAGTGTATATATATACTTTTTTATAATTTTTTCACGCTTTAACCACGTGAACATCTTTGTCGGCGATTGTCTTGTCTCTGACAATTTTAAAATAAGATGGAAGTATATAAATTGTATATGACACACAATTTTAAAAAATAGTGTAAGAGCTAATCATTAAAGTAAGTTATGCAATTAACTATGTGGGGCCCTTCATGGACACACTGAGTCCTCAAGATATTGGGTAGCAAGGAAACTTTTAAGGCAATGACTTCGGTCTTCTTTCTTTGTTATCCTACGTACATTTGTTTCTCGTTATTTATTTCATCTTTCTATTTGTACCTTTTGCCTTGCCATTAGTAATAAAATAAAAAAGTTATGCAATTAATAAACAAATTAACAAAGGATAACTAAAAAACAAATATATAAAAAGCAAATTAACAAAGGATAACTAACAAAAATTAAGCTAACAATTAATAATTAGCAAAAAAACTAGTTAACAAGAAATCACAAAAAAATAACAGTTAATGTAAAAAAAAACTAACAGTTAATAACTATAGAAAACAAGCTAACAATTAATAACTAGCAAAAAACTAAGTAACTGTTACTAACTAATAAAAAATTAGTCGAAAGAAATAATTAATCCCTTAATAAATGTGCTTTTGTAGTACATATTATTTTATTTCACATTCAAAATTATTATCACAAACTACTTAACACAGTGTAAAATGGGTAATTAACCAACTTTTAATCTAATTTTTTTCATTGTGTGCCGTCAAATTTTGAAATCGTTAAAAGTGTGCCGCAACAAAAAAAAGGTTGAGAATCACTGAGTTAATGTGTCGAAAACAATCACTACCTACTGCAAGTTATATTGCAGGACTTTGATTTAAAAGACGTTTTCATGTCTTTAAATTGCAGAAGTTTTAATTTCTTAAAATAAAACCTTGGCTTTGCAAGAATGTTGTAAATAATTTTAGTTTTTATTTACAAACATCTTTTACTGCAAAAAAGAAATTCAGGTTGTCTACTGATCAAGAAAATCACAGATTTGAAAAAAAGGTTGCGAAAGTTCTGAAAACGTCAGGACTTTTCAAACGAAGGAACTCATTTTTTCTTTTCAAGCGCTGCCAAAAATGTCTTGATAATATTGCTGTGTGCCGTAATAGCATTACATTAATAATATTTGAATATGAAAATGGCCAAAAACCGAAAAATAACTGCGAAGAAAAAAAAGCAATCTGAACAGAATGTAAATTTATGATGGAATCTTAACAAACTGAGTAGTTAAAAGTAATACCCCGGAATTCAAATTCACATGTTGTAATAACATCGTATTAAAAACATCAACATTTGAAAGCTCTGTGAAAATGGCCAAAAAATGATAAACAATGTGAATGTACGATGGAGTTGTTAGAAACTGCGCTTGTCAGAAAGTGATGACTCAAATTTGATAATTTTAGCACATCGTATCAAAAATATCTCAATATTTTATTTATTTATTTATTTTTCTTAAGAAAAGAAGAAAACACTTGGAAAAAGCTAAAAAGAATTATATATAACCATTGGTTAGGTCTGCAAACAACCTCGATTTATTTATCTTTTCTTATTTAATCTTTTTTTTTTATAGTGGTTACCAAAAAAAATATGACCAACTTTTTTTTACTAACTTTAATCTGGCAACATTGATTTAAACCCCATTAAAAATGGAGAAATTCCTTCTGTTGTTATAGGCAGGGTATCTGCGTGCCTGAAAAGTCATGGATTTTGTTATTGAACAAAATTTGTCATGAAATGTCATGATTTTTACTATTTTTTTTTTAAAAAAAATCATGAAATGTCATGCGCTTAGGTTGCCAAAAAATCTAATTTTTAAAATGGAATTTTTCCCCCTTCCCAATTTTACAGTGTTCCGAGGCTCCAAATATCTAAATTTGTATCAAAATCCCCACTCATAGCCACATTCTATTGAAATATAAAATGTTTTTATCCTGTTCTTTAAAAATTATGGTGTTCTTTCAAAAAATGAAAAAAAGAACATTTTTGGGACAAATTAACTTTTAATCTTCTGTGATTTCAGAATTTTTTTTATTTTTTTATTATTATTTTTTTTTTATATATATAAATTTAAAATTCTAGTCTAGGCTTTTTATATTACACTTACTTTAAAGAAGAAATAAAGCAGCTTTAAATAACTACATATATCTGACAGTATTTAGTTATTTGCTTTCATATTTTTTTCCCAGCTATTTTATTGCTTCAACTCTTTCGTTGTTCTGTTTTAAGTAAATAAATATGAAGATGCAGAGTTTTGGTTATACTTATCATTTCAATTAATGTTATTATAATGCTTTTTTAAATTTATTGTTGTGTTTTTCTGGAGATAATAGTAACTTTGGTAAGTTGTGAAAAGTTTTTTGAATTATTCATGGAAAGTCATGGATTTGAAAATCTAAAATGTAGCAGATACCCTGTATATTATATAAACCCTTCTTTCATAGAGATGTCTTCTCTTATTGTAGAAATCAAAGAAATCTCCCTTCACCTTCAAAGATATGTTGATGCAATTAAGTGATGAAGAAGTTGATAAAATGTGGGAGCAGTTCTGTCAAATAATTATGAAACAATATGAAAGTATTTTGAAGAATGACAACGAATCTCCTAAGAAGGTAACAATATGCTTTTTGCTGGATTTACGTCTCTTGATTTTTAAAAAAAAGCATTCTAATTGTTTTATTTTTCAAAAAATAGTCATTGATATAAGTCTAAAATATTTTTAAATAATATTTATGTATTTTCATATTTTATTATGTATATGTTACCGGTAAAGTTTGAAATCCGGCATTCTATAGAATGTCTAGGCATTGTATATAATGCCTAAAACTTGATGCAGTAGGTTAATTTCTTATTTTTTATATGAAAATTTTGTTTCCCTTAATAAGAAAGATATAAGTTATGTTTTTACAACTTTCATTTTTCTCTGCACATTTTGAATAACGTTTCTATTTTTGAGAAATGCACATCATTTACATACTAACCTCATCGGGACAATTTTTTTTTTCATTCTTTGTCTAAATAGCATTTGTCTATAAAATGCTTAAGTATTATATACAATGCCTTGGGAAAGTATGTAATACTTCTCATATTTCATGCCTTTCCTTAAAACAGGCGGCATTATACACAATGCCTAGACATTCTATAGAATGCAGCGTTTCATACTTTGCCGGTAACATATACATCTTTTTCTCTTATATATCTGGGCAATTCTGTTGTAAGAGTCAAACAGTTATAGCTAAAATAAAAAAGATTATTCTAACTATGTATAAAAATCTAATAATGGTGTCACAGTTTTCTCTTAATGTCGGTACATTTTTCTTCCCAGAAAATTACGTAGTAGGATCCAGTTTGTCTGCAATTATTTTACATATTTTTTTAAACGTCATCAGCATAAAATTAACATAAAGGTATTGTTTTCCTGTAAAGTATTTTGTTTTTGTAAGCTTTAAAATTGCTTATTACTTAAAAATACATATTGCACCTCATCGGTTTTTCTCAGTTTAAAAAAAAAGAAATGAAAGAATGCATCATTAATGCTCATGCTCATTTATAATGAAATAATGCTCTCTTTTTTTCTGTATTATTTACAGTTTTTTTTTTTTTTTTTTTTTTTTTTTTTTTTGAAAATTGAGAATAAATACAAATACGGAGCTATAAAACATCTTCTCCACAAAATTGAAAGAAAAAAAAAGGGATGAAAAAATTTCATCATGAGTTACCTAAAAACATTAATTAACCCCTATGAATTTAGAATTTTATTTTTAGAAAACTATCTATTATTTTTTTAAAATAAAACTATGCTTACATGTATTTTGTACAGTTTGTTATGTCACAGTACTCATTGTTATTATGTCACCTACATTTTTTTTTTCTTTTGCTAGTTATATCAAGAGATCAGCCAAGTTATTCAAGCTGTTATAGATACTGCTCATGTAATGCTGGCAGAAAATATACCTATACCAAAGGAATTTCTTCATTTAGTTGTATTTTTGAATGGTATTTATTTAAAAAATAATCTTTAATTTAAAATATGTACTATGTTATATGTAGCAAATTTTCAAAAGTTTATATACTCACAAGAAGCACAATACTTCAAAAAAGTTTTTACAGGGTACCTGGAAAGTCATGGATTTCGATACTGAACAAAATTTGTCATGATTTTAACTATTGTTTAAAAAAAATAATGGAAAGTCATGGATTTAGGTCACCAAATTTCACCCCCCCCCCAAATTTCTTGCTCCAAATATCTGAATTTGCAACAAAATCCCCACTCACAATCATATTTTATTAAAATATAAAATGCTTTTATTGTGTTCTTTAGAAATTATGGTGTTTTTTCAAAAAATAAACGAAAGAATATTTCTAGAGCGAAATATCTTTTAAACTTCTTTGATTTAAACTTTTTTTTTTATCTATTTATAACTCTAGCTGAAGCAAGCCAGTCATTGGCAAATTTTTTTGTAATTCCGAAATGAAAACAGAAAATTCAGGAGTATTTCTTTTCTTTCCGATGAAGAGGAAAAGTATCTTTATAATATAATTCTGCAAAGAAAAGAAAAAAAGCTATTCGCTTTTGTATTTTTTTTTCAACTATTTTTTTATTGCTTCAACCTTTTCTTTACTTAATTTTTTGGATTTAAAATCTATAAATATGAAGATGCAGGTTATAATAATTTTGGTTCTACCTATCATTTCAATTAATGTTGTTATAATGCTTTTTTTACTTTTGTTGTGTTTTTGTCAGAGAAAATAGTAACTTCGTTAAATCATGAAAAATTCTTGGAATTAATCATGGAAAGTCAATGAATTTGAAAATCTAAACTGAAGCAGATACTCTTTTCAAAAGTTTTTATTTTGTTTACTATTTCCACTAATTTTAAACATTATATTTTGCATTATTTTAAGTGTAAAAAACTAGATGTGTAGCTAATTATTAATGCATTTTCTTTCCCGAAGGAATACAGATCTTAAAATGTTTATTACACTTTTACATGAAATTTTTGTGATGTAAGAGTATTTGTTTATTTTTTGTATTAGTAATATATATCAAATTTATCCTCCTGGTGTCAATTTATAAAACAGTAAGATATGTTTAGAAACTCTTTACAAAAATGCAGTCCTCAAAAAAGGACTTTTCCCAAAATTCCTAACTAAATAAATAAAACAAACAATTAGTAGAAGTAGCTGTGGAAAAATAAATTTTAATATTTTCAGTAATAATAATAAGTTCTGAAAATTATGTTGATGTTTCTTTACTTTATTTTGCCACCTTTTTTAATAGAGCATTCATTTTTTTGGAAAAAAGGGAAGAATTTATATTGACCACTGCTCTCAAGTATTTTAATGTCTAGTTCCACCCAAAAGCACAAAGTTCAAAATGCTCTTTGTTCCTAAATTAGTGTGCAAAAGTAATTTTTTAAAAAAGTTAAACAAGTTTGAAATAATAGTCAGATGTTTATTCAAGTAATTTTTAAAAAAAATCGTTACTATTTGACTACAGTTATTTACATAATCACTTAACAGATTTTCACACAGTATATTTCCTATTTACAAAAATTATGTCGTTTATTTGACAACTGTAAACTCTTTTTAATCCTGTGTTGAAGTACAAAAACAACATCAGGGGTCTGTTTAGAAGAAATTTGGGTCCGTTAACGAACCCTTCACAAAATATTTTAGCTTAAAACCGGACCCTTCACAAAATTATTTATCTTTTAATCAGACCCTTCACGAATTTGTTTATCTTCATTATTGTTTTGTTAATCGAATAAACCCTTCCCAGGAAGGGGGGGGAAGACAGATGTAAATGGACTAAATTTTGTCTTCTGCAGACGGTTCTTCCTTTATTTGTCCGAAATGAATATTCTGTGTTCAGCAGTATAGGCTAAATACCAAATACAGTAGGAAACCGATTATCCGGAACGATCGGGACCATCGCTATTCCGGATAACTGATTTTTCCGGTTTTCTGAATAGCTGCAAAAAGCCGTTTTTTTTTATTGCTAACCCAACTAAAGAAAAAAATATTTGAATATAATCTTAAAGCGAAGAAAAAGCGATGAAGTAATACACTAATGATTATTTCCAAAATGATGGTAAGGTAAACATCGTTCAAAAAAGAAGGAAAAATTCTAAAATCTTATGAGGAAAAAAAATTTTTTTTTTAAAAATGGCGGGAAAATTTACCGAATTTCGTTCCGGTTTTTTGGTTTTCCGGTTTTCTGATTTCCGGATAACGGGTTCTATACTGTATTTATGTGTTGCATCTCTAATTTAGTAGCTGCAATTGCTGTTTATTTTTTAAAATTTAATTTTTTTAATTATAATTTTACAGTGTTGAGCATAATCTTGTATGTCTTTACAATTTAAAAACTCGTTGAAAAAGTTTTATTTACAATAACGGACCCTATTTGCAAAAATTCACAAAAGCCCTTTCCAGGACCCTGGTTGAAAGAATGTGATTTAAAGTTTTTTTTCTATTCACAAATTACGAGTAATTTTTTCACAATTTTGCAAAAACGGACCTTTCACAAAGTGTCTGGACAGACCCCTGAACATGAAAATCAATTCATAAAACAGGTAATTCAACAGTTGATTCTCTCGAGTTTATTGCACTTCAGAATGAACTAATTTCATTTTCTTTTAATATTGCTATTATGTTGTTAAAACTACTTCAGTGAATGAATGAATGTTATGTTATTTCAGGAATCCTACTGAGCATTCCCAGTCACCTGGAAAGCTTGAAAAATAATATATCCTATCTCTGTGAAAGAATGTATTCTATGAACTACATCGACAAGAGTGAGATTCTTGTTTCAAACTCACTCATATATTTGCTCAGGCGATCTACAAGTCCTAAAGCAGCAGTATGTTTGTTTGTTTTTTGCATATATTCTACATACTCCTGTGGCAGAATTTTTTTGAGCTATCTGCGACAAAAATCTCTATCACTAATATCTTTCTGCAAGATACTTTGAATAATGTTACATATATGTTACATATTTAAAATAACAAAAGCAATGTGCTTACAAAAAAAAACTACATGATTTTTTTAATAAAACATGTAATAATTTTTTATTCTAATATTATGGGTGATATTCTCTATTTCGTAGGGGGAGGCACACAAATTATTTTCTTCGCATTTTGTAAATAATAATGCCAATAAAAAATATCATGAAAGACGTAGTAGTAATTGCTGAAAAAAAGATCGGTAACAAAATTACACGAATCGGGCTCCTCAAATGCATGTTTCCTTTTGAGATTATGTTGCTTTAATAAATAGTAATATAGCATAAGAAATATCGGATTTAAGAACTATGGAGAAATCAATAGCAATATCCACCAAAAATTCGATATTAGTAAATGCTGAAATGGACGATTCGAATTTTCCATACTGTTTTAAATATACTGGGATATTTAAAATTCGCGTGAAAATAAATATTTGCTGAAAATACAATCGAAACATTGCATCGATTTGCTATTCTTTCATCATAAATTGAGCGTGTCAAAGAGTGATTACCTAAATGCATGACTCAAATATTATATGTAAATTTCTGTAGAAAATAAATATTTGTTATTTTTAAAAGAAAAATCTTTTTGCAAGAACTCCATACCGTTCTGCGACAATGCCGCCATGTTGCTACGATTCTGCTACGGGTTGTTTTTGTTTCATTTATATTTACTCTCTGTAAGAGCATTATATATTTTTGAAAATCTTTATTTTGCAATGTTTAGAAAAAGGATGTTAAAAGAATCTATCCTCTGCGTTCACTTATTCCAAAGATTCTCTCCATGGAAACTGTTGATTCAAATGAAGTTTGGGAACTGCTCAAGAAATGTGCTTCATCTCAACTATATCCATCATCCGCCCATGAAGTAATAATTTATTCTATTTTTTTTTTTTTAATTACCTGTTTTTATAAGACTTATCTATTTTAATAATTTTTTTTTTACTACTGACTGCAAACTATCTTATAATTTTCTCAGATTTATATTTCTATTTCTCAGGTTTATATTTATTGCTCAGATATTTCTTTTTCTACTCATATGATCTATTATAATATATTTTTTAGATCAAATATGGAAATGAAGCAATCTGCAATCAAATATTTTTTCTTTTCAGTTTTTTGAATGCGATTTTCAGTACATCAATAATGTTGCCACTGCACTTAAAAACGCAAAAGAAAAGTTATGTAAACAAAGGTTGATCCAGATTTAATTTTTTAAGGCCAATTTTTGTTTTAAAAAATATATTTTTGTGAAAAATAGAGATATTTTTTGTGGAAATTTCTTAATGAGAAACATTCAGTTTTATCAATCAGTACAGGGTGTGTAGCGTTTTTAAAAAGTGCTTAAAGGTGCTTATTTTCGACTTTCGTTTTTTAAAAGCCCTTAAAGGTACCTTTTTCATTGGTTGTTTTTTAAAAGTGCTTAATTTTCCTTTTCCAAAGTGAAATTTTTTTCTTTACCCCATCAATTTTTGACTCTAATTATGCAAAAAGCATGGTTTTCGCAATGTTCTATTCAATGTTTTTATAAATCATTCAACCACAATCTATTTCGACATACCATCGGTCTGTAGCGTCTGAAAGTGCCAATCGTTTTATCAAATACTTGCGAATTCGAATACTGAGCTGGATTTGGTGGGGAGGATTCATGCATTTTGCAAGAGAGATAATCTTTTTAAATAATAGTTAAATTAATTATTTATAATTTTGAATAAAAAATTTTTTACATAATTGTGTAAAGTAATTATAAATTTAAAAAATTGAATGATTCACTCAATATTGAATGTATTTAAAATTGTGCATAAATTGTTTTTATGGTGGCTAATATAATCACGAAAAGAATTCTTTGCCAGAAACTAGTTATTTTATTATGATCATGTAACTATTTTGCATTTTCTTAACATATATATGTGAAGACAACATTGTAAAGGGAAAAAAATTATTAGTGCACATATCCTAATTATAATATTTTTTTAAAGTGCTTAAAAATATTTTTTAAGTGCTTAAAAGGTGCTTATTTTTTGTTGCAAAACTTGACAATAGATTTTTTATTTAGATTTTTTGTAAATATGCATGTGTTTTTCCAATTTTTTTTCTTTGCTTCCTACCTTTTTAGATGATGTTATTACGACATGTGAATTTTGAATTCAAGTTATTACTTTCTAATATGTTCGGTTCATGAATCATGATGATTCTATTGTAAATTCATGTCGCTTAATATAGTTTTTTCAGAAATTATTTATCATTTTTGTGGCCCTTTTTGCATGATTTTTTATATTCCAATGTTTTTATATTATATTTTATTTTCCAGTATTTTTATTTAATATTTTTATACCACAACCTTGAATTGAGTGCAGAATAAAATCTATTTTTAGGGATTCCCTCTAAATCTGCCAAACACGTAAGAATAGAATTTGAAAACCGTTATATGGTTGCTGATGTTTTGATTTCATTAAAATTCGTTATTATTTCTTACACTTTTTTTCCACCAAAACATTTGAATGCGTAAGGCTGAGAAAAAGGGCCTTGTCGTTTAATTTAATCGGTTAATAGCCAGTACATGGGTTCCTTAACTTTTCTAACACACTCAAGATACTCCCCTTTTTCATTGTTTGTTGGGAAGGTTGTAGGGGTGGGGTAACCACACTCTCCAGGCCATTTTCTAAATTTATCAATTTAAATTTACTTCAAGTACTAAAAATTTCTGGATAACCTACTAAAAATTTCCAGAATGAGATTTTCATCTAGAACCAGACCATAGAAATTGATAGTTTGCACTACATTTCTTCTTTTTTTTCCCTTTTTTTTTAAGTTTGGTTTGTTTATTTTACTATTACATCTTATATGTCACCTTATTTGAATTTAAAGGATCTACCAGATCATGACATATGTTAAGTCTGTAATTTTTGCAAGATAACACTGAAATATTACATAGAGAAATTTAGTTGGCAGAATTTTTTTTCTGTGTAGAATCAGCCAATAGCTTCTGTAAAGTTTCAATTGAAAGTAAATGAGAAAATAAACAGGGTGCATAGTGTTTTTAAAAAGTGTTCGAAGGTGCTTATTTTTAATTTACGTTTTCTAAAAGCACTTAAAGGTACTTTTTTATTGGAGGTTTCTAAAAAGTGCTTCATTTTCTATCTTTCAAGCTGAAATTTTTTTTCTTTGCCACATCGATTGTCATCATAACTTTGAAACAAAGCATGATTTTCAGTATTTTCTTTGCACTATTAATCAGAAACTAGTTATTTTATCATGATTATGTTAAGTCTCTAAAAATGTTTTTGCATTTTGTTGATTTTTATGTTTATAAATTAAGAACATTAACTATAGAAGGACAAAATTTTTATTGCTGCACATATTTTAATTATGATTTTTTTTATTTTATTGGAAAGTGATTAAAAATATTTTTTGAAGGCTTAAAAGGAGCTTATTTTTTGTTGAAAAATCTGGCTAAGCACCCTAATAAAGTTTAAATTCTTTGTTTCCTTCCTGGTTACCTACTTTTAAAATTCATTTTTTGTTATTCACCATTATAGTTTTCTAAAATCATTGCATAGGTACTTTAGGTATCCAATTTTGGAAGAGAGCAAAATTAAAATTGTTGTCTGTAAAAAATTTCTGCTTTTAAGTAATGAGTATGAAATTGTATATTTTATAGGGACAAAAGATCCTTTCTTTAGCTCTAACTCTTGATGTTGATCACATAGCAGACATTCATAATGCAATAAAGAAAAGGCTGTCTTCCTGCTCACTGTAAGTATAGCTATTTAACATGCTATTATTGATTTCTTTTAAAAAAATAATGTGCATGTACATAAATCAATTTTGTTAATATTTTTTTTTATTTACAGAACTGTTTTTAAGGCATCTTAAAAGTGCTTTATTCATTTTTGCATACTTTTTGATTTGATAAAGTTTGAATTTTAATATTTTTCTAACAGAATCAGAAGAAAAAAAAGTTCAATGAAATGAAAAAGTGAACTGTTTTTTTTAGCGTTTTCTAATTTATTTCTTATAGCTTTTATTTTTTATTATTTTATTAAACAGAGGTATAACGAGTACCCTGATTTCTCTGAGTGCATTACCTCACTTCTTATATTTTCTTTATAAGCTAGCAGATATACTGATACATAAACTTGGTTTTTATTTTTTTAGTTGATAGAATTAGAGTCTTCATAATACTTAAAATTTAAAAATTATACTTTTTATACCAAAAATCATTTTTTTTTAAATCGCATTCTACTCGACTAAGCAGAAAAAAATACTTAGTAAATATTTCCTTTCTTGTCCGTGTAGCAGGGTTGGGTTTTTGACGTCAAAAAGTGGTTTTTGACATGACAAGGGTATAATACTGGTTTAAACCGTCAAAAACCCGTCAAAAATGTCAAAAACTAAAGTTTGCCAAAAAAAAATATATAAGCTACAAAACTACCAACAGTTGCCATGCATTACATTGAAATTTAATTATACTATAGGTAATCAGCAGGTTTTAAAATATTTTTTAATTAAAATTAAGGTAAAATAACAGATTTAAAATCTCAGAAATTTATATTCAAATGCATGTGCAGAAAAATTTTGCACAAAAATTGTTTAAATATTTATATTTAAAAAAAAAATTTTTTTTTTTTTGATACTTAAGAAAATTAAAAGTTTATTACTATGCATTTTTGACATATAAGGAACATATAACTAATATTTATAAGGAACTTACAAGTTATGTTGTATAAATACAAACTTGATACAAGTGTATAAAAAAAATTTTTTAATGTTATACCGAATATCTTTATTATCCAGTATGTTAATTTGAATTTAAAAGTAGTTATATTTGTGAATAATGATAAATATAATTCATATTGTTTATTATATTTATTTATAATTATTACACTTATCATTTTAAAACAATTTTTACCTCTTAATTTTTTCCCCCACTTGTATTAAGAATACAAATAATGCATATCTTGAAAGCAAGAAGTAATTATTCAACAGCTGAATATTTAGATATTCAACAAAACTATGTATATAGTATTCAGCAAAATGAAATTCACAAGTATTTGGATAAACTAAATTTTCAGCATAGTAAATGAATAGGCTGAATATACTGTAAATCGACACTAACTACTCTGTGTATTTAACAGAAAGCACTTAAATTTGTATTGTCTTATGTTAAAAAGATTATTAAGAAGATTTAAAAGAATATTAAAAAGATTTTTCTTTAAAAGATGTCTAATGTACAAAACTGCTAATGTTTATCTTTAAAAATGTCTAATTTTTAGTATAATCTATACTATACACTAAATTTGGTTATAAATAAATTTCTTAATAATATCACTGCAGATTTTCAATAACACATGAAAATGAATACATAATATTACAAAAGATGTGAGCTTTCAAAAGTACAAGATTTTGGTTACTATTCAAAATATAAGTGTTTCTTCAAAATTTTAAATTTATTTTTTCTAGAACATATTTAGAAACACTATCCTTTATAAAAAATATATAAATTTTATGTATTAATTAAATTTCACATATGAATATAGGTTTTTGACATTTTCGACATTTTTGACAGTGAGGTTTTTGACGTGACGGTTTAAACCATGGTTTAAACTGTCAAAAACTGTCACATGTCAAAAACCTGCCAACCCTGCCGTGTAGCTATGTAAGATGCATAAATAAGTGCAAGTATAAAATTGTGCTTTTTGTACACAAAATTCTTATAATTTCTTTACTATTTATCTCGTGGATTTCTGTATTCTTTAATTTGATTCAGCATAAAACATTTCTTTAGAAATTTTATGTTACTTGTTATGATAGTGCCAGGATAGAAATGTAAAATGTGTACATAAGTATGTGTCAAAAGAAGTACTTTTTATACATAAAAACATTTAAAATTTTTGAATTATTTGTTCTATTGACCTTTGTGTATTCTTATTTAATTCAGTGTAAAAGAATACATAAAAAATACAAAGTTATTTAAGGAAACAAATTTTTGGTATTAATTTTTTTGAAGAAAAAGTCTAATTTCACTAGACTAAAACTGAATAATGTAGACAATGTTAAGTAATTAATTTAATGCTCTGAAAATTCCAAGTATGATGCATTTTGCATGATATTCTTAATTTCAGGCTTTATTTTCCACCCTCTGATATCGAACCAAAAAATTTTGATCTTTTTATGGTGGATAATATAATCTAGAAAAAGTAACTAGTTATTTTATCATATCATGTAAAGTCCTAAAAGTTATTTTACATTTTGTTAATGTATATGGTGCTTAAAAATATTTTTTGAGTTCTTAAAAAGTACTTAAAAGGAGCTTATTTTTTGTTGAAAGATTTGACTAGGCACCCTTTATTTGTATCTTCTTTATTTGACTTAAATACTATTTATATAAATATATATAAACATACATATAAATGACATTTCCTTTTTGTAATAGAGCTCATGCCGCATTTTTTGGAAAAGTATATTATGAAGCCTGGTCTCACGCTGTTAAAACTGAGTCTCTAGACTTGAAAAATGTAACTATTCTTACTTTTTTCAATTTTACGTTTTATTGTATGTCACATTTTCTTAAAAAAAACCATTTTTTTTCAGGCAATTGAAATAACATGCATACAAGATTTGGTTCTATTAGCTGTAACTGATAGAAGAAAATCCATTGTTTTATCTACACAAAAAGTAAATTCTTTTTTATCTTTTACTTTGAATAGAAAATAATTATAATTATTTATCTTTTTATTTATTTATTTAATTTTTTGTTCCTCAAAGGTTTTGGCACAGTTTCATTGTAAGAAGAAAGACATTGATGTATTAAAGATGCTCTATTCTCTGTATCATCCAATACTCTGGCTTCACTTAAAGGTATAATCCAAGTATTATTAGTTATAATAGAATGTAAGAAAGTTTCAAAAAATGATATTTATGGAAATGAATTATTATTTTTATAGAATCCGGATGGTCTTATTCGTGCTAATGCAGCTCAACTTTTTCTGGCAGTCTTCCCGTTGGAGAATCCTGACTTGGATCTTGTCTCTTCTGACCAGGAATTAAATGATCAAATGTTGATGATAAAAGTTAGCTCATATATTACACTGCTTTAAATAAATAGTTTTATTTTTTGCTCGTATTAAAAGGTTCATAATCCTAGTCAAAATTACCAGAATATCTAGATCAACATAGACAGGGGAAGGGGGTTTTATTGATTAGAATTCAAAAATTAAAAGAAAGAAAATGTTTTTCAACGTGGTGCGTAGCGTTTTTAAAAAAGTTCTTATTTTCATTTTTTAAAAGCCTTTAAATGTTATTTTCCCTTTTCGAAAATGGGATTTCTTTTTCTTCACCATGACGATTTTCGCCTCGTATTACGTAAAAGCGTGCTTTTCACTTTTCTGTTCAACGTTTTCACAATTCACTCCATCATAATCTATTTTGGTGAAATGTATCTTGATTGAATGAATATATATTTTGAATAAATACTTGGAAGTTCGCATGTGTGTCTACTGAGCTGGGTTCTTTGAGATTTTTGCACAATCATGTGCAACTCAAACATTTCACCAAACAAACATTTTGCAAGATATTCTCAATTTCAGGCTTCATTTTCCCTATGAAATTGAACCGAAAAATCTCTTGATCATTTATAATGGCTAATGTAATAAAAAAAAAACGTTCTTTGTCAGAAACTAGCTATTTTATCATAGTCATGTAAAGTCTTTGAAAATTATTTTGAATTTTGTTAATGTATATAGTGCTTAAAAGGTGCTTATTTTCTGTTAAAGATTTGACTATGCACTCTGTTATTGTTTTTTTTTTTTTTTTTTTTTTTTTTTTTGTATGCAGGTGAATATATTGTTTTTTTTTCTTCAGGAATTACTTGTTGATGACTATCCAATTGTTCGATGCAGCGCCATTGTTGGACTTTGCCTTGCAATGAGTGTCCATTGGGAGCTGTTTCCTGAAGAAGTATGTAAACTTTCATAGAAATTCAACAACAAAAAGAACTTCATTTTCCAAAAAATTATATTTTTTTGTGATTTTTTTTAGATGCTTAAAACGTATTTCAAAATACTTGTTCAAGATCTAAGTTGTGATTCCTCATCTTCTGACGTTCGTTGTGCCGTTGCGAAGGTATTAAGAACTATTTTTATAAAATTTTCATTAATAAAAATGCTTGTTTCGTGATATATGTAATCTTTACTGTATCAGATCTCCAAACACTTTTTTTATTATTTCCTACCAAGAAATTCCAGTGTTTTGATTTTTTTTTAAAGAAAGTTTGCAACTGAGTGAGAGGGAACAAAATAAAAACTAAACATTTATCATTAAAAAGGATTTAAAAATGACAAATTGCATTTCGTTAAAAATTGCATTTCGAGTTCTGACTGAATATTTTTGTAATGCAAGGCTGCCTATATTAAGTGACCTACATTGAAAGATGTGTGCAATGTAATTAACTTTCGGGGATCCTATGCTACCACTGTCACCAGTTTTTTCTGAAGACTATGTTCACTTTGTTATAGGTTAAATCAGGGTTGCTTCTCCACAGGGAGAATAAGGGAAACCTGAAAAATACAGGGAATTTCAAAATCACCTAACATAACAGGGAATTTTGAGTTTTTCCTTGCAAACTGGAAATTTTAATTCGTTTTTTTGTCTTTCAAAAGTGGTGACTACTCAAGGTGCAATCTATAGGATATTTTTGGATGATATTTCAAGTATACTAAGCTATTTCATTTACTATAGCATTATTTATTTTAAGTATATCCAGCTGTTTCTTTTCCAACTGCATAGCTGGACTAATATAGGTCACTCAAGAACACAATGATTGTGTTTCCTCTTAATATATTGTGTATAATATGTACAGGGAATTTTTTTTCCAGATTTGAGTGACAACCCTGTAAATGGCCTTTAATTATCTTGAATACTTTTACTTAAGAAAAATTTAATACTGTGTGAGTCTACAAGTGCTTGGATTGGTGCCAGGATGTAGAACACAATGTTTCTTGTTTAGTTGTTCATCTTTTTTTTCTTCTTTTTTTTTTAATTACTGCTTAGCATTTTGTTTCTTGCAGATTATTTTTAGTGGGACTACTGTAGCTTCGCAATCGCTGTGCATTACCCAGTATTGAGCACTGTCTATAAAGAAAATTCAAATCTGCATCTGACTTGCGCCAACCATAGTGCTGATGTGAAATATCCTCCGTGGTAGATGGATCATGGGTTAGAGTCCCTTAGCTTTCAGGGTAACCGTGGGAGGTTTTCGTGGTTTTGCTTCCCACTTAATTCAAATAAGGGATAGTTCCAAAAAGTCCTACATGAAGGCAAAATTTCTCCCAATACTTGACCCAGGAGTTTCCTTGTCTTCTGGATTGGGTTCAAAATTGCAAGGCTTCGGAGTTGAATAGTAGTAATAAACCCAGAAAAAAATTGGGTCGGCTGATCAACGATGGTTATAAAAAATAAAATATTAGGAAAATTACATATCATGAAGAGTTTCTTTGATTTGGTTCGCACAACTACCAACTGTTTCTATTAGTCGTATTATTTTAACCTTGTTCTAAAAAGCGTTTTTATGCCAAAATGTTCCAACCTTTCGCTATTTTAAAGCTTTTTTACTTCCATGGTGGTGAGCAACAGGGAAAATAAGTTTTCTATTTCTGGGAAATTGGGGAATTCATTCACTGGTCGGGGGAAATTATAAAAGAGTCCTTCAGTTCTTTCATTGAAGCGCGAAATTGCTTTCTAACTCCCTCTGATTGTGTACCTATTTGTTCTACTCCACTGACCTTGATGCGGAACAGAAAGTTATCTATTCACATAATCACAAAATTGAAATGTGTTAATACAGAGGAGAAAAATATTCTTGCCACAATTTGTTGTAACTGATGTTTCTATCATTAGATTAAAAAAAAGCAGCTGACAATATTTTGAAAATATTATAATATTTTCATTCATTTAAATATTTCAAGAATTTGTGCTGTTATTTCCAATTATTTTTCTTTTATTTACCTGTTTACAACTTGCAATGCCATCTGTTGGAAAGTTTTTGAATTAAAGCAAAAAATGATAAAAATTTATGACCTGTCACACAAATTTGCCGCCAGCATTTTTATTTATTTTTTAACCTTAACTATCAAAATTTCCTATGGAATATTGCAAGCATATGATTTGTCTGTATTTTTACAGAGTTCAATTAGTTTTGACAAGGATTTAGGTTTTATTACGTGTAAAGGATTACAACTTTTGTTATTATGTTCATTGTTTGAAATTTTTTTAACACTTGTGTGAAATTTTCAGGGTTTTAAAGGGCTGCTTGAGAATCCTTTGACTGTGCCTACTTTGCAGAACATCTTACCAAAGTTGAAAAACCTGTTTGATGATATATCTAGCCTTGTTAGAGTGGCTTTCTGTCAATTGCTGCTATGTGTGAAAAGAATTTGGGGCATTAGAGTAAGCGTCTTTATATATGTATATTTGTCTGTGTGTACTCTGGGCTCTTGTTAAAGCACCTGTATTTAAATTGAATGATCAATACTTACAGTCTCATGATTCCTCTCACTTCCTAATATGGTAATGAGCATTGTGAACGATCCATAGTACTCACTGGATAATCAGGATAAACTGCTTTGTGTTACTGAAAATATTCTAGAATTGAGTAGTATTGTAAGATCAAAACTATCTCAGAATCTATGTAATAGGTGTTAATATAGCTGGTTCTTTTTCGTAAGGAGAACAGTAAAAACAATCAAATTATCCAAAATTTGAATTAACTAAATCCTGTTTTTCTTATCTCTCTTACAATGTAAGTTTTTATTCCCCCCAAAAAATAGTCATTAAGTCACTTACCAAGCTAATCACAATGTTCAAAGATTAAAAATGTGATGAAATTAAAAGGGATAAATTTATTTTAGCATATTTCTAATCACAATGTTTTAAACATGGCTGCAATCTCTCTCTCTCTCTCTCTCTTTTTTTTTTTTTTTTTTTTTTTTTTTTTTTTTTTTTTTTAAATAAGTTTTTAATCAAAATTGACTAGCACCGAAAAACCCATTTTAGGTATTCAACTAAGTAAAAATTGGCACTTTCAATGAAAATTTTGTATTTTTTTTTATTTATTATTATCTGTTTTTAAATTTAAATTCATGAGGGAATGAATTTATTTAAATTCATTAAATTTTAATTCATTCCCCCCCCCTCTCAAATTTATGTTATTTTAGTTCTGATTCAGGGCTCCCTCGATCTTAAAAGTCCTTAAAAACTGCTTAATTTTTATTTTGGAAAATAAGGGCCCTTTAAAGTACTTAATTTTCGTTCAAGGTTTTAGCATCACTATGGTTGATAGGAATAATTTTTCAGTTAAATTTTTTTAAACAAAATGTCGTTCTTCTATCACTTATAACTAGACCGTGCATCGAGGATTAAAGCATTTTTGTGAGACAAAAATTAATGTGTGTGGGGGGAGCTACAGGCAAGGGGAAGAAAGCATGTCCTATCATTAATATATTGGTTCTTTAGTTAATATATTCTGCCCTTTGCCTAGAATGATACCCTTTGAGGATAATAAAAAATACAAATCATGAAATCCGTTGTCGAAAAAAAGGTCAACGACGAAATCACGCGAATTGAACTGCTCAAAAAGGGATAATTCAAGTGCGTGTTTCGTTTCAATATTAGGTTGTAGTAATAAATAATATTGTATAAAATATACCGGATTTAAAAACTAACTCTGGAGAAATCAATAGCAATAACTGCCAAAAATTCGATAGAATCATTACCTTAAAAATTAAATGCATGATTGGAATATTGTTTGAAATATATCTGGATATTTAATACCCATGTGAAAATTAATATCAGTAACTACCGAAAATTAAATCGAATCATTATATCCATTTACGATACTATTGAATACACAATTCAATTCACGTGTTCAATTTACGATAAATTGAACGCGTCAAAAAGTGATTATCTAAATGCATGATTCAAATATTACGTGTAAATTTCTGTAGAAAAATTTTTTTTATTGCTTTTCAAAAGAAAAATTATTCTGCAAAAACTGTAATATTCTGCGACAATGTTGCCCTGTCGCTGCGATTCTGCCACGGGGCTTATAGGAATTAAGCAAAATGCTGAGAAAGGAAATATCAGAATTTTTTTTTTTTTTTTAACTAGAATCCATAACAAAAGCTATTTTCTAAAATCTCGAAGAATTAAATAAATTTGTATGATATTTCAATGTGTAATAAGTAACTGTAAATTTATAGAAGGCATAAAATTTTTTTAAAATTCATGATTATACTAAAAATTAAACAGATTTGTAAGGAACAGGGTTTGAAAGATCCCACCCCACCTAGATTTTTTATCGAAAACCTGGGGTTTTGATGTAATTTTTTTTCCCTGAGTACTAAATAAGATAGTATGATTTGCTTCTAACAGGAAAGTTAAATATTTGGTAACTATTTTTAATTTATTTTGTTGCAATGTAATTTTTTTTTTTTTTAAATTTTAGATTGTTACGCTATTAATATTATTTCTTAAGGATAAACAGATTGCTGCATCAAGCTTTAAATCTACTCAACTAAAAGATCCTTAGATTTTAATAGTTATTTTATTCAGTTAACATTGCAACTTAATATACTGTTTTTAATTTTTGTTCAATGTTTGGTTGCTTGAAAATTAGTCATGTTTTTTGCTAAAATGTTTAGTTACATTATGTAAAGTTAATTCCTAATAACAGGTTTGCCTGGAAATGATTTTGTTCAAGTTCATCATAAAAGTAAATATAACAAATTTGCTGGTCTTGTAGTGAAATATTAAAACAAGTTGAAATAATTTTCTCAGTGTTTTTGACAAATTTCTTTATTTAATCTTTTTTTTTTTTAATATAGATGGAAAAAAATTTCAAATCTTCATTTCTGCACTGAATTTTACAATTCAATTTCAATGAAATCATTAAAAGTGAAATGCAGATTAAAGTTATATATTTTAACTTTTCCAATCTGACTGATATTAACTTTTAACAATTTTAAAATGTTTTTTTTTTTAATTGACCCGGGTTTGCAAAAATTGCCTGGTAATTCTTTGGCAAGTAATTCTTTATATCAGTGCTCGCATTATAATAAAATTGTTTATTATTATTTTTTTTATTCAAATTTTTTTAGGAAGGTAAATAATTTACATTGTCACTGGTGGCATATATATATTCGATGATAAACAATCATGTTATTTTTAAAGTCCTTAATTTTTCAAAAAAGTACTTAATTTTTGCTTCATGGAAAGAGTGGGAACCCTAATTTTTAGAAATCAAGTTACAGCTCTTTTTTCATACACTGACAGACGAAACTGAAACCGGAAGTAAACTCCCTAAAACAAAACTATAGTGTTTTTTGGTATTCTTTGAATATTTATTTTTTTTATAAAATTATCATTTTTAAAACAAATATAATGCATTTTCAGAAATTAGGTTTTGAATAATTAATATTTTTATTGTCTTAGTTTTTTTTTTTTTTTTTGCATTTTCTGAAAAATGTTGATTTTGGGAAACTTCTTTATGCTAGCATACATTACAAAAAAAGTTTTGTGTAGAATTCTTTGAAGCTTTTTATATAGATTTAAAAAAAAAACTAATATTCAGCAATATATTTGGCTCTATTTCATTGTATAATTGAATTTTTTTTAAAATTTTAATTCAAAACATATGTAACCACTTTATTGATCTTGAAAAAAATTATTTCGATATTTATTACAAATTGTTGTAGAGCTGTAGCATGACTTGAGAAAATTGCAGTTTTTAAACTCAAGTTTGTCCTTATTTCAAAAAAAAGTTTATTAAAAAATTTTTAAATTTATATTTTAGGATCCCTGCTCATCAAAAATAAAATTAAAATTGTATCCAAGGCAGTCGTGTACCTTAAGAAGCTTTTCACAATGCAAGAATAAACGTTTTAAACAATGAAATATTTTATACGGGTAGTCTTAAGTTATTTCTATAAATAAATCACGAATGTCTTGTTATCGTGCACAATTTGAGCTGTACTTATTAAAATTTAACTTAAATATTTACTGGCTTAAGCTAATAACTAAGCTAATCTACGGCAAATTCAAATTCTTTTAATTTGTTTCAAATTTAATTTTTTTTAATTAAGTAAAATTTCATTTCTAAAAATGACGAATATTACTCAAAACCACTTAGAACCTTTTCCAAGATTCTAGAAGTGATTGCGATAATAATTTTCTTCCTAAAAACTTTTTTCGGAATTTTTCAACCTATCAGGATAATAATTTTCTTCCTAAAAACTTTTTTCGGGATTTTTCAAGGGAAAATTGGCAGCCCGAAAAAGCTTTTTGTAATATGTAACAATAACAAAAATGTTGAATATCCTCACATATCTAGAAGATTTACTGTGAATCAGCTGTTTAAAAATCTTCTCCAAAAATGATGAATGTAATTGTTGGCAACTGTGGTCACCATTTTATATCCCTCATAATTTTTTGTCTCCATTTTATTATCTGGTATGAAACTAGTAATTTATTATGCTGAAATTCCAAGAACAATAATAGTTACTTTTTTACTAAAAAAAAGTGTTTTCATAATCAAGTATTATTTTAATCCATTCCAGTACTATGACATAGTGCCTTTGAGTCACCTCTTGGCCCGTATGGAAGAAGACCCGGCCGTCTCTAAGCTCATCGTAAATTTAATTCACAACAGCTATTTTCCTAAAAATGAGCATCCTAATGTCTGGATGTGTAGATGTGCTGAGATGATTAAATCAAATCGGGAATCGTCCAGAGAATTTTTTCGCCATATTCCTCGTTACATCGGTGTTGATGCCGGAGGTAAATATTTCTTTCTTATTCCATACTGAACTTAATTTCTTTAAGAAATCAACTTGTTTTTAACAGAAGTTGCTTTTATTTTTCGATCTAAATGTAATAATATTATTTTTTTTAAAATCGAAACACTTCTCCAGACGCGCTAAAGTATCAGGTTTAAGCCGGAATTTCTAGACTTCTTATTATTTTAGTTACGTCCGAATTTAACTCAAAAATCTCCAGATTCTTTTTTTCTTTAACAAAATAATCCCATTGGAGTTCATTGCTTTTTATAAAATATCATTAAAGGAAAACATTAGAACCCTCAGTCAACGTTTTAAAACAAGTTTTAAAAATATTCTTTAAAAAAATGAGCAAGAAAAAATATTCCTCACTCAACTATCAAAAAAATTAATCAAAAGGGAACAAAAAAAGGTGGCAATTTAAAGAGTTTATTGACGGTTAAACCAAAAAACAAGAACCATGGTTCCTTGTTTTGAGCAAAACTTGAGTGATATATTTTTAGGAAAAGTAAAATTTTACACTTAAAATTCTTTTAAGGACTAAAAAAAAATTTATTAATTTAACTCCATTTAATTGCATTCTTAAGATTTGTGTCTTGTTATTAGCATTATTTATATCTATATTAAGAATTAAAAATTCCAAGAATATGTGTTATTTTAAGAAGCAATAATGAAAATTAAATTTGTATTGACATATTTTTATTTATTTTTTAAAATTTTCCTTTATAACTCTATGCTGTAGTTTTAGAAAATGTCTCCTGCTTTGGAAAGGCTGAAATCATCAGCTAACTCAGATGTTTTCATTATCTTGTTCTCACAGTTTGTCCTGATTTTTTTGATAAAAAAAAATTGTTTTTGTCCTTGTTAATTATTAGCTTTTTGTCTTGATTTTCCTAATTGTGCTCTGAAAACCCTGATTTCAGCAAATACAAATGTAGATTTTAATATCATTGATTTGTGGATTTTAAAATAGTCAAAATTTTTGTATTTTTGGTATAATTAATAATTGTAGTAAAAATTGGATAATTCTAACTTCGGGACCATCCACTTGATATATGGGCATGTAGTCTTACACACAGGATCAATTTTTTTCTAACATTATGAAAATTCAGTCATTTTATGAACATGAAATTCAATTAGCAATTTTACATGAACAAATTTTTAGGTGATAAATTGAGAGGTCGTGTGCTTATTTATTAATTTCAGCAGATGTAGTTAGAAATATTATTGATTTGTCTCTTTCAGAGTGCGTAGCATTTTTAAAAAGTGCTTAAAGGTGCTTATTTTAGATTTTCATTTTTTAAAAGAAAACAACATTCGTATGAAAACAACATTCGTTTTACACGATTCAAAATTTCGTGATTTTTGACAATTGTCAAAAACAATGCCAAAAGGTTTTTTTTTGTTTGACATGATGGTTAAAAGAAGATAAGATTGTAAATTTTCAAAAACTTTCCATCCCTGCCTAATTATGATAAAATGCTTAAAAATACTTTTTAGTGCTTAAAAGGTGCTTATTTTTGTTGAATAATTTGGGTATGCTTTGGGTCTCTGATATGATTTTAAGAATGATACATTCTAATCAATAATACAATAATTATATCATATAATTTTAATCTGGGGAATTGAAGGATTGTCCACTTTACTACTTTTGTACGAAACTGTTAAGCCGCATATTCATATGTTTTAAGTTTATTAAAACCCTACTTAAACCTTTTTCTCACATTTGGTACAAGTAATTTAGCATGCAAAAAGTTAAAATTATTTTATGGAAGCCAATCTCTAACATGATTACAAATAAATATAGTTTTTTAAAAAAATTTTAAGTAATTTGCGATGCAAAAAATGGTCTGGTTTTTTCCTTTGCCTTGTTCTTATGTTATTTACGTTTTCTGAGGATGTTTGTGGCTATCAGAAATCATTTGTGACTCAACCAAATCTAGCTATTAAAATTCTTTTGGCTGTGTAAGGCTAAAAACTTATGTTTTGTTAGAACTGATACACTCAGGGTATCTGTGCTCCTGGAAAGTCATGAATTTCAATATTGAACTAAAATTTGTCATGATATGTTATCATTTTAACTATTTTTTTTAAAAAAATCATGGAAAGTCATGGATTTAGGTCACCGAAATATCTAATTTTTAAAAGGGACCCCAATTTCATGATGTTTGAATATCTGAATTTGTAACAAAATCCCCACTCACCAGTCATATTTCATTAAAATATAAAATGTTTTTATCATGTTCTTTAAAAATTATGGTGTTTTTTCAAAAAATGAAAGAAAAAACATCATTTCTAGAGCGAAACATCAGTGATTTCAGAATTTTTGCTATTATATATTTTTATTTTATCAATTTAAAATTGTAGTTAAAGCAAGCCAGTCATTGTTTTTTTTTTTTTTTTTTTTTTTTTTTTTTTTTTTTTTTTTTTTTTTTTTTTTTTTTTNAGTATTTCTTTCCTTTCCGAAGAACAAGAAAAGTATCTTTAGAATATAATTCTGCAGGAAAAAAAATTAATTGCTTTTGTATTTTTTCAGCTATTTTATTACTTTAACTCTTCCTTTACTCTGTTTTTTAAATTTAAAATCTATAAATATGAAGATGCAGAGTACAACAGTTTTAGTTACACCCTTCATTTCAATTAATGTTATTATAATGCTTTTTTAAATTTATTGTTCTGTTTTTTTTTTTTTTTTTTTTTNTTTTTTTTTTTTTTTTTTTTTTTTTTTTTTTTTTTTTTTTTTTTTGGAGGAAATAGTAACTTTGTCAAGTCATGAAAAATTCTTGGAATTAGTCATGGAAAGTCTTTGAAAATCTAAAATGTAGCAGATACCCTTCGTTTTTATACTATCATTAATACATTGTTTTTTTTTCAGCTAAATTTATGGTACAAGTCGTCAAAGCTATTCATTTTTATGCCAAATCAAAGACGTCATCTGTGATGAATGCCTCCCAAACTTCAGCCCAACGAAAAAGTGCCTCTCAAAATTCGGCACAAAGAAAAACTGCCTCTCAAAAGAAATCAGTGCAAAAAAAGACTCAATCACAAAAGAAATCAGCATCACGGAAAAGAAATAACTCTTCATATTTGAATGAATCTGGTGATGCAGAAGCTTTGGAGTCTGCAATTGGTTTTCAAGATCCAAATATTGTGAGCGGTCTTTTAGATGCTGTCTCCGTCTTATGGCTTTCTTGTAATCTGGCTAAGGTTCGTTATATGCTTTGAATATTTATTTTTTTAATAAACCCTTTGCTCCCTGTTCACTCCTATCGCCCTCCATTGAAGTGAACTGGATTTGAATCTCCGCATTGACTGGTCGATCCGAATCCTGCACCCAGCTTGTTCTGACTATAGTGCTGACGTAAAATATCCTCAGTGGTAGGTGGACCATGGGTTACAAATCCCCTTGCTGTTGGACTAATCGGGGAAGATTTTCGTAGTTTTTCCTCTCCGTGTAATGCAAACGCCTGTTAGTTTCATCAAATTGTCCACCACGAAGGCACGATTTCTCCCAATACATGATCTAGAAGTTCCCTTGTCTTCTGTATTGGGTTCAAAACCACAAGGCTACGGAGTTGAACATTGTTAGTCGTAAACAGGAAATTGGGTTTGGATGTTCATCGATGATTATAAAATTATCACCCTTCATATTCATTATTGTTTTCCCTGAAATTGAAACAAATAAGTTTTTAAGTATAATTAATCAACAAAGAAAATTTTATCGATAGGATATATTTCTGAAGAAAAAAACATTTTGGTAATGAAAAAATGTATTATTCAACTTAAATAAAGAAAAATAATTATATTTTTAGTTTATGAGGGGCTCCGGAATTTTTCTGATGGAAAAACATTTTCGTGAAGAAGAGAAAAAAAATCTTGTAAACTCAGATATTTTAAATGTTTGAGGCTGTTTTGAATTATTTTCAGTGGTAGTGAACTAAAGCATAATTTTTTGAGAAACAAATTTTTTTTTTTTAATTTATTAAAAAAGAGCATTTGTCTATATGTCTGTATATCAGGGTTGCCACTTGACTGGGAGAATAGGGAAAGCCTGGAAAATACAGGGAATTTAAAAATCACCTAAAATAATAGGGAATTTAATTTTTTTTTTTTTCCTTTACAAACTGGAAATTTTGTTTCTTATTTTCTTCTTTTAAAAAATGGTTACCACTCAATGCGTAATCTATCGGATATTTAAGGATGATATTCTAACTATACTAAACTATTTCATTTACTGTAGCATAATAAGGACAGGGTGCGTAGCGTTTGTAAAAAGTACTTAAAGGTGCTTTTTTGGGGATTTCGTTTTTAAAAGCTTTTAAAGGTGCTTTTTTCAGCTGGCGTTTTTAAAAAGTGCTTTTTTTCACGAATAAATTTTTTTTTCCTTCAGTGATATCTGGTAGATCCCATGCATTTTACGAAAAATGGGGTGTTTGCTACGTAATTATTCACGCGGACTTCGTGTAGTACCCACGTTATGACTTGCGCATGCGCGCACACTTGAAACCGAAACCCGAGTGCTCCAATTCGGATAGAGAATATTAGATCCTTATGAAATCTTTTTCTTTTTAATTTTATTCTTGCTTATTTTATTTTACTTCTAACACTTTTTTGACGTAGGGGGTAAGGGTACTTTTGTTCTGAGTTCATGATCAAGTTGAATTCACTCGGTGATGTGGGAAAGTACTGATAGTTTCGATTTACAACCGTTTCTTTTTGGGTTTTTTTTAACGCTAAAACTGTTTATAAAAAGTTTTTGTTTTTCAATAATATCATTGATTGAATATGAATTTTTTGAGTGCTTGAAAATTTTTGTGAAGTGCTTGAAAAGTTTTTAAAAAGTGCTTATTTTTGATTTAAAGATTTGGCTACGCACCCTGAAGTATGTTCAGCTGTTCCCTTTTCTTTCTTTTTTTTCTCTAAGTTTTTCCAGCAATTAAAACTAGTATAGTTAGCTAATATAGCTCACACAAGAGGACAGTAATTATGTTTCCTCTCAACATATTGTGTATAATATGCACAGGGAATTTTTTTTCAAGATTTGAGTGACAACCCTGTATATCAGGATTCCCACAATCCTTAAAAGTACTTAAAAACTGCTTAATTTTTATTTTGGAAAATTAAACTTAACTTAATTTTGGTACAAGGTTTTTAAAAGTCCTTAATTTTTCTGCATCACTATTACCTGACAGGAACAATTTTTTCAGTCTTACAGAAATATTTTTTAAAAAAGTCATTCTTTTATCTCCTAGAATGAGACCATGCATTGAGGGTAGAGCATTTTAGAGAGACTAACTGTTTGGCATAACTTAATATTTAGCATGATTTGCCCACAACTGAATATGTGATGCGTGCCTAACAACGAAATATAAACCCTTTTGCAGAATCGTTTTAATTTTTGTCATTTTGCACATTTCCTTGTCATAAGTCAGTATGTACTTGTTGAATTACAAATATGTGTGATTTAACCTCTTTAGGCCCAAGGTATTCATGTTAATTTCAATAAGGTAAAAAGAGTTCTATATTAACTGCCAATTGCTTGTTCCTCCACCTTGTTTTACTAAATTTAAAATTTCTCATGAATCAGCACTTTCCTTTCCTCCTCAATTCACTGTTCCTTTCCTCCTCAATTCACTGTTTCACTTTAAATATGAAAAATTTGTGCAATATTTTTTTCTTCATATGATGCTTAACTTTTTTTTAATTAATAGCCAGAGAATAAAAATCAACTGAAGATGGTAGTTGGGAACCTTGCTAAATGGATGGAAGATCTTGTGATTCATTATAAGGTAAGAAAATTACATTTTAATACTCTTTTCTTTTTTATTTCTTCAGAACGGAAGACTTGTACCTTGATCGTGTGTAAATATTTACTAGCAGATAAATTTTGCATTAAGTATATTTAATTGATACCTTAACAGGTAAATTAAATAAAATGAGTGACAAATGAATTTTCAAAATAACTTTTATCATCTGGCTAAAAAATATAAAACAGCATATGACCTTTAAAATTAAAATATAATAAATATTCCAAAATTCCAATTTATTTTTGATCAAATATATTTATGCTTACTTTATTACACCTAAAAAAAAAAAGATAAGACACACCACTTTCTTTAAAATTTTCCAAACTCCTCCACTCCTAAACAAAATATGTTTCCTATTTGTTTTTTTTTTAGTTGTGACAAAAGTAAGAATTATTTTCTTCCTTTTTGTCCACTTCAAAAACACAAGGAAAAATATTTTAATATTGATCAAGTCTTGATAGATATTTGTTTGAAAAATCGTAACCCAAATAGTCGTAAACCTAAAATTGGGTTGGCAATTCAACTATAGTTATTAAATAAAATAGTTTAAGTAATTATAAATAGTGGTTTAAAAAATCTTCATTAGATTAAGATTTATATACATATTTTTTACTTTGCTTAATTTAAGTGCTTATATTATATCCAATTTGAATTCCTCTTTTCGACTTACATCAGTGTTTCCCTAACTTATCATTTGTGTACCCTTTCTAAATTTTTCGCAATACTGTGTACCTGTAATAAAAATAAAAAAATGAATGAGTTTTTTAAAAAATATGTTTATTTTTCTTTTTTGGTACAAAGTTTTATTAATAAGTTTATTTGCATCAGTAAGAAAGATGATATTGTTTTTGTTGTGATAACAAAAAAATTATACAAAAGTAAAAAATCCTAACTGGCTGTTAACTCTGCAAAAAATAGCCAATAGAAAAATACGACATCATAAATTTTCATGGCTAGCTTTGTTTTTAAATAAAAGTTTTTGAAATTTTCATTTGTTGCAAGATATTTCGCATAAGAACGTGCATCCCCGCTAAACTGTTCCCGTACCCCTGGAGGTACGCGAACCTCACTTTGGGTGACTTACATGATTATGCATAATGTATCCGAACTTTACTCATAGCCTAAAAAATGTTGCTAGTAAAATTTCCGCTATTTTATTTCTGCAATGGTGGTAGGTATGTGCCTGTATAACAAAGGTAATAAGCTTACGTTAAGTTAATATCATTGCTTATTTTTAGGACACTCCTGTTTGTTCATCTGTCTTTTATTTGGCCAGCCTCATGCCTCCTGAAAATGTTCCCAGCCTTGTGGAATTTTGTCATGAACAGCTGAGAGCAGCCAGCTCTAATGGGTTAGAGGAAGATTATTTTACGCTTTTGCAGTGCTTGTGTAACCAAAGAGAAGGTGGCACCCTTTTAGCTACATTAAAGGAATTGATTGAAGTTGAGTTTCAAAAGACTATCATTCAAGCACCCACTCCTAAACGAGTAAGTTTTTTTAAAAATGTAAAATTCCCAGGTTTTTATGACTTCGGACCCAAAACAGTTTACAAAATTACCAGTCCAATTATTACACAACCCCCACACCTCATAGCTGCCAAAACCCATGCCGACCAAATTTAATCCATGCTTGGAACTAATTTGTTTTCCTGCTTTCGCAGTAGAGTGAAAATTTTGAGGTTCTTGGTTGTTGAGTTCGAAGTAGTTTTATTTCGGCTGCTGATATTTGATGCAGGGTTTTCCTCCTCTGTGCTACGTGTGTTGAATTTGTACATCTGTACATTATAGTTCTCTCGACACTGCTAATTCTTATTTTTGTGCTTTCCTGTGTTTGCTCGTGCACATATTTGTATTTTGTTTACTTGTGTCTTTTTCATGTGGTGCATTGTAAGATTGTATGCACTGTGTATTTTAACGATGGAAGTCAATCGGGTAGACGAACACAAAGTGCGTACGATATTAAAAAAGATAAATTCAAGTTTGAGTGGTTTAATAAAACTGTCAAAGTGACTAAAGACTAAAACTGTTAGTAACAAACTATCAGAAGATATTGAGGTTAAAGTTAACGACTGTTTTAATTTAAAATGATTGGTTTAAAACTAATTTAAAATGATGATTATTAAGCCTTACTATGCTGTAATGTATGTTCTAATGTATGTAAATTCTAACAATTATTTGTTATCATTTGCTTTTATTCTTAAGAAAATGGTGATTTAAAGTTACAAAAAAGAATTTCAAATTACACATGGTGCTTAACGTTTTTGATAAGTGCTTAAAGGTGCTTATTTTCGATATTTATTTTTTAAAAGCCCTTAAGGGTGCTTTTTTCATTGGGTATTTTTTAAAAGTGCTTAATTTTTCCTTTTCGAAAAAGAGATTTTATTTCTTTATCATGTCTGTTTTTACTGCGTATTATGCAAAAGCGTGGTTTTCACATTGTTCTATTCAACCTCATTCACAATTCATTCAACCACAATCCGTTTTGCCACGCTGTCAGTTCGTAACATATGATAGCGCCAATCATTTTACATGTTTAATGAAATGCTTGCGAGTCTGCGTGCGTGTCTACTGAGCTGGGCTTGGTGAGATTATTGCACTCTCGTTTGCAACTCGACTGCATTTTGCAAGTCATTCACCATTTCATGCTTCATTTTCCACCCTCTGAAATTGAACTAAAAAAATTTTCGATCATTTTTTAATGGCTAATATAATCAATGAAAGAGTTCGTAGTCAAAAGCTAGTTATTTTATCATGATTGTGTAAAGTCTTTGAAAAAAAAAATTTGCATTTTGTTAATGTATATGGTGCTTAAAAATATTTTTAAGTGCTTAAAAAGTATTTAAAAGGTGCTTATTTTTTTTTTGAAAGATTTGGCTTACAGTAACAAAATCAGTAATTTAGAAACAAAATTAATGATTGTATTATATTTTGTAATTACTTTAAGAAAGCTCTCTCAAATAAAATGAAAACAATAATATATGAATCATGCCTTTTCTTTGCAGAGGAAAAAATCAAATAATACTTCATCCATACTTGGACTTGAATTGGTCAACGAAATATTGAACACTAGAGCCTGTCAGAAAATTATTTTGGCTCAGCATAGTGAAGAATTAAAGTCATTCTTAGAATTATTCAATCATTTGAAAGTAAGTCTTGTTTTTTATTTTTTATTATTTATGCTAAACATGAAACAACTATTTTGTTAAATATGATGCTTATTTTTTCAGGTAAAAATAGAGGCTTTGTTAACTGCAGAAATAAGTGAGCAAGAAGCAGATTTCGTCCTTAGTTTACTTTTAGCTTTGTCCAAAATTTCTATGCTTCTACAAAGCGAGGTAGGAATTGCTTGTCTTATCAAACATATCTAACTTTTTTGTTTCTATTGATATTAGGCAAATTCTATCAAAAATATGATAGAAATTTAATATTTGATAATTCTTTAAAAAATAATTTTGAATTTAAACAGAATATATTGGTTTCATAATTAAATATTTAAAATATAATTATGTAATATCCTTAACTATAGTTGTAAGCTTAAACTTTAATAAAAATATATGTTTTTAATTTCAAAATTTTAAGTACAATTTTTTAAACACATAATAATTATTGTTAAGTTATTCAAATCTTTCATAAAAATTGCCCTCATCTTTAATAAAACAGATTTGGAAATGAGATTCAGACAGACTTATCAGTGTTACTCAGGAGTATGCCCAGGGTATTACTGTTTGGCGGTAGTTTCATAATGAAAAGGCAAGTTCTCATGCAAACCCCGATCTCATTGCAATCTATGGAAAAGGAGATATTTTCTGCCAGCTGTCTTTTGCGAAAATGTAGATTGTGTTTGGTCAGATAGTGCAACGTGGTAAGCCCCTAATCGGGCACTTACTCACACCATATGAAAGCAAACTTTTTTTTTTTCTGTATTATTATTATTATTAAACGACGAGGCTCTCCCTCTATGAACTTTACAAGAAGTTTAAATTTGAACATTATCTTAAACACTATTGTAAATTTATTCTAACAGACCTTTATTTCTTATGAACCATTTTTTTCTCCGTGAAACTTTTTTCTGTATGACCTTGTTGAAAATGTTCTCATAAATAACTTTTTGTACTAGTACTGTTAAATGCATGTTTTATTAAATTCAAGTTGAAAATTAACTATGGACAATGTTTTTATATGGATTTTGAAATTTACATGCAATTTTTAGCTCAAAGTTTTACAATAGCAAAATTGTTTTTGAATGTATGGGGGAAAATATATAGAAATTTACCAGTCATAAAAGATTTCATTTGTAGTGGCAATTTTTGAAAATATTTTCTTACTTCACCATATTTTTGTGTTGATTTTTTAATTTTCTCAAATTATGTCTAAATTTTCATAAAATATCTTTAAAAAAAACCTAGACAGACCCCTGTTACTGAAAAGAACAGAATTACTAAAAAAGATATTTTCTTCTTAGTCTCTGATTTAATTATTTGATTTAGTAGCATACTGATAAATTTTAAAACATATTAAGGCCTTCTCATAGCTTGTTTGAATCTATTTTTGTTCACAGAAATTAATGTTTGTTGAAAGAATTACTTTTCTGCACCTTTTTTAGAATAGTGTATCTTTCTTACATGCTTAATTATTAATGAAATAATTTACAAATAGTTTGAGTTCTGCATTGTACATCTTATTAATTAATTCAATACTTGTTATTTAAAGAATTTCAATGGTGTCAAATTCATGGAGGATATTGTAATCTGGGTTCAGAATAAGCTGTGTAAACAAGTGTGGCCACAGACTGATAATTCCAGGAGAAGCAGCATGGTTAAAAAGGTTGTGTGTTCTTCCCAAGTTAAGAAGCTTGTTGCAAACATAAGCAGAGTAAGTATAGATTTTTTCCCCCTGATTTTTATGGAATTTCAAATTTGGATGCAATTAGCAAAATTATCTTTTTTTATATAGGGAAAAATATACAGAAATTTACCTGTCATAAATTATTTTTATTTCAATTGAAATTTTTTTCTTAATCTAATTTAATTTTTCTTCATTTTCTAATTTAATTTTTAATTGTCACAAATTATGTCTAAATTTTCACAAAATAGGTACCTCTAAGAAAAAAAACAGACAGACCCTTGAATTTATATTCATTCATGGTTGCCATTCCATGGGGAAAACCTGGAAAATACAGGGAATTTAAAAATCCCCTATAATAATAGGAAATTTTTTTTTCTTTACTAACTGGGAGAATACAAGTAATTTTGTTTATTATTTTCGTCTTTTATAAAATGGCAACCACTTAATGCCTAATCCATGGGATATTTAAGGATGAATATTCCAGCTATACTAAACTATTTCATTTTTTAAAGCATTATTTAAGTTTGTGCAGCTGTTCCTTTTTTTCTCTTAAGTTTTTCCAGCAATTAAAACTAGTATAGTCAGCCTAATGTGGCACATACAAGAGCACAATAATTGTGTTTCCGCTTAAAATATTGTGTATAATATGTAGTACAGGGAAAACAGAGAATTTTTTTTCTTCCAGATTTGAGTGGCAACCCTGGCATTTTGTTTCTTAATCTTGTTTGAAAAATATTGATTGTATAAAAGCATTAACTTTCTTTAAACATTACTTTCAGGAAATAATCCTCATTTTGGCAGATGTCATATACCTAGGGTATTTTAATGAAAAGTGTAGATTTATAAAGTTTGGAGTTCAACTTCTAAATTTAGGTATGGTATGAACAGTATTATTGTATGTCAGTTTGTGAATTTTCTGGTGAATTATAGTTTCAGCTACATAATCGTAACTCTCTGAGTAGTTTTTTCTCCTCTGTGTGTGTTATAAAAATCACCATTATCAGTAAACAGTTCATTCATATTATACCCAAAGAATTGTAACTGTTTAAATATCCATTTGTCCTTTTCTTTAATCTGTTTGAATAATGTATCAAATTAAATTTTAACCAATAATTTGAAAAATGTTCTTTGTCAACAATTCCAGTTATTCTATTTTTTATATTTTTAAGCGCCTACTTTTAAAAATTAAGCTCTCTATTAATATTAAATTCAAAGCTGTTGGTAGTTGCGGGGAGAGCAGCGATAAGGAATAACGGGAATTTAATGATTCTGGAAATTCTAGGGGGAAATCAGCAAATTTCTCAGAAATCTTATTAAGACAGAGAAAACTTTTAAAACAAGGATTCGCTGATTGCTCTAGTTCACGCATGGCACTTCTTTTAGAATGATGCAGACAAGTTTTCTCTTTTCTTCTCACAAGTAGCTGTAGTAAGGTTCTGATAGTTTTTTGGCCTTCTCTTCAATTTTTCAAGGACTTAAGCATTTAAGACATTATTACGACATGGGAAATTCAAAGTTACGCTATCACTTTTTGAAGCTTTCGATTCATGACGATTCTACCATAATTTGATATTGTTTGATTATAGTTTAATAGACATTGCTTATAATTTCAATATTCATTTCAATTTATCAGGCATTGTATATAATTTCTGATAATTCTTTCAAGTAGTTTTTTAAATTTCAATTTGTATGATGTTATTACGATGTTTAAATTTATGTTGCCACTTTTTGTTGTGTTTGATTCATATTGATTTCTTCATGAAATCACGTCGTTGAATTATTATTTTCCAGCTGTTTATCATTTTTAAGCTCTTTCTGCAAATGTACAAATTTTGAAGCCAAGTTGTCATTTTTTGAACAATTCGACTTGCCACAATTCCTATGTAAATTAGCAAAATTTTGGCAATTTCCATTTGTTTTTTCTAATATTCTTTATGTGTTGTTGTTATTACAACAAACGTGCAAGCGCCAAAAGGTTAACTATGCATTCACAAAATTCAGCTGGTGTGTTAATGAATATTTCAATTCTTTTCCACCAGATAATAGGATCCATTTCAAAATAATTTTAAGGATAAAGCTCACACTCAATTTCAAAAAGAAAATAATAATAATAATTTATTATTATTTTCTTTTAAACCAAAAGATGCATGTTTTTTTCAGCATGCATCTTTTGAAAAAATAGTCGTTGGCAACGATCAGTAGTTATGAATAATGCCAAATAAGGCCCAAATTTTCCGGGTAAAAAAAACTTCTGAGCACTTTCTGTATATTTACATTTGAAAGTGATTATCTCGCATTTTTTGCTTTACCTTATAATTATTTTACTGCTTCGAAATAAACTGTTCCTATCCACATTACCGAAAGTTTTCCCATTACCAAATAAATATTCGACATTTAAATAACTGAACTGTCTTTTAAATTCAATTGAGTTCGTAGAATTGACTTTTTTAAAAAAAGTATGATTTTTGTTTTTTAAATCCTAGATTTGGGAGCTTCCATTCTACTTCCCCTTAGTAAAATGTTTCTGAGGCATGTATGGTCTGGAGTTTACCTTTATTGCACAGAAAAAAAAGAAACAGCACTCCAAATTACCCCAGATTGCATCAATAAAATCAATGAGTTTAGTTCCAGCCAAGAGATCATTTCAAGAATACCCAACTCAGTAAGTGCATCGTTATTTTTATAATTTAATTTCATAGATACACTCAGCAATTTTGCCCTATTGTTTTATGGCTATTATTTTGCATTTAAAATTGCCAAAAATAGAATCTTTCATGAACAAATGTGTCAAAAATAAAATTTTAACACTTAATTTTATGTCTTGATTTGATTTTTAATAATTTATTCTGAAGGTAATTAAAGTTCAAAAGCAAAATGGAATTTTAACAATAAAGTTATTTCAAAACAATTTTTTTTTTTATTCAAGCATTATCTTATACTTATAATTAACAAACTAAAAACTCAAAGCATTTCAAGGTACCTTAGAATTGAACCAATTTCTAATTAAGTTCAGGTAAAAGGGTACTTTGGTGATTTAGAACTAAGGCCAAAAAATCTCTAATATGAACTTCAATTAACAAACCTGTCCTCCTGAAACAAGACATCAAGTATTACTTTTAAATAATTTTCTTTGCTGGGAGAATAGCTCTCAATGATATCTCGTGCTTTTGTATTTGGCTTAACAGACAAGTACAAATATTGAAATTTATCTTCCCTTAAGACTTCATCATTGGGAACTGGAAAAAACTGTCCCCAAAATGCTATCCAAATTTTAACTTCGTTCTTTTAAATAAATAAACAGTTATTTTTTGAAGAAATTTATGTTTGTGAGTGTGTGTAACTGGTGTCATATATTTTGAAAAAAAATGTTTTAATGTTATATATATTTCAATCATCACTTTCAGAATACTTTTTTTATATTTATTAGGCTTTGAAAGAAATACAGCTGAATATGAATGAATCCATTAAACTTTTAAAAAAGTGCAACCGTTCTTATTCACGTCTCAGTTTTGCTGTGCCTTCATTAAAAGTAGAATCCGAAAAACCTATGAAGAATGAACCCACAGAAAATAATGTACTAAATAATCCACATAATATTTCTGTGCCTTTATTGGATGTTAGTTCTGGGAAATCTAAAGACAGGAAATCGACCTATACAAGAAAATCTAAACGCCTGAGTTTTGCCGTGCCTTTATCAGCTGCAGAACCTGACGCGTCTTCGAGCAACGGAAATTATATGCAAATAAATTCTGCCGTGCCTTTATTGAATTCAAACTCTGAACAGTCTTCAGATAAAGAGCAAGATGAAAACTGTGAACCTTTTATACCTTCATAAACTGATTGCTGTTTATAATGATTTTAACTTGAACATAGCAAAATTTAAATCATTTTTATATAAATGTGAATCAGTATTTGTCTCATACTTTTCTACATTCACTTCAAGCCTTAAAGATGCACTTACTGTTTTTTTTTTTTTTTAAATATGGTTAATGAAGGAATTATTTATTTCTATTACTTCTAAACTATCAGACAGGTGCAGTGCTAAACATTTTATATCAGAATGCAAAGTCCGACAGCGTAACAGTTCGCAATGTGACAATCTTAGTTAAGTGGTTAAAAAAATGTTAAGTAGAATTTTCAGATCACTGAAACTTCTAGATTTAAACTCATTCATTTATAAAAGCTTGTGAGGTTTATATTGCCAATAAACCTTCAAAAAATATTCAGGATCTTTCCTGATCGAACTCAAACAACATGAATATTCTGAAATTCAACCTTCATAGTACCTTATGAAGGTTGAATGAGATGATTTTCTTAAGAAAAGAAAATGGCTTTTTGGTGTTTCTATATATTCTAAACCTGATTTTCATACTTGCTTAGCATGTACTAGGTTCTCCAATTATGATCTGCTCTAGTTATTTCCCAACATTTAATTCAGATTTTTGGTTATAGTTACCAAAAAATTTCCGGAATGTTGTGGCTTAACTGAACCCCTCGTTTTCATATGTTTAGGGAGTTAGTAAATAAGATGATTTAATATTTTAATTTATACAGATAGAAATTGTACATGGTTGGAATTACACATGATGGTAATTGTTATTTACTGGAATTTGAAGACCTTAAAAACAGATTAAAGTAATTAAAAGCATCCAGATATTTAAAAGTTAAAATTTGTCATGAAAACAAAAGTTATTTGTAAGATTCATCTTATTTCTTGAACATCTAAACTATTATAATTGTTTACTAAAATATGTAATCTGCGAAAGTATCACGTAACGAATTAGCAGGATCTTGCTTGTTATAGTCGCACATCAAAGGCTAACTATGTACAAAAGATCACAAAAACTTATCCAAACTTCAACTAAAAAATTTATCTCACTAGTTCAGACAACCAAGACCAAAACCCAAAGATTGGAAATATAAAAGCAAATCGAATCAACTTGGCAGAAGTGTAAAAGATACAGTGTGTGGTGGGTGTCGCTGTATATAATTATAGTTAGTTGATTTTTTGTTCCAAGTAAAAATATTTATTTAAGACGGAATTTGTAGATAAAATTTTAAAACAGTAGGATGTTTTAATCAATATTGAATGTCTTCTAGCTTTTTATGAATTATTTGTGTTAATTTTACCAATAAAAACCATTTCATTTAAAATATTACATTGTAGTTATGCCAAGTGATAAATTTAAAGTTTGTTAAATTCTCGCAACCCTTACTAGGGAAATGTGCATTTGTAAAATTCCTATTAAAAGAAATGTAAGTTTAAATTAAAGAACCTGGTAAAAACTTTGGATAGGGTAAAAATTTTCTGCTATAGGGGTTAAGTGTGCTCCATTAAAATTTCAGTTCCTTTACTTTTAAAATAACAAAACTTTCCAGCTCTTGTATATTCGTGGTGCAACTGTTAGACTGTCCGCCTACTACCAGAGAGGTGAAATATTTGAATCCCAGCTGGGATGTTTGAATTTTATCTCTAATTTTCTTTTCTAAAAAAGTTGATAAATATTTAATATGTATTATTCAATTTATAATTATTATTTTTTAATTTAGATAGATTTTTTAAAAATTTAAATTTTAAAAAATTAAAAAGAATACATATTTATTTACTTTGTAATGAACAATTTAATTTTTTTTAAAATTTAATTATGAAAATGTAAAAAAAAAAAAAAAAGGATATTGTTTTAGGGTAAACTAGCCAGTGAAGGAACACTTAGTCTATTTAACCAGGTAATCCAAAACATTGCTAAATGACTTCCTATTGTTTGATAGTAAGTTATTGTTACCAATCAATCTAAAGAAAAACTTTCAAATTCTTATTTTTAATCAATATATATGAAATGTTCCTTCACTGGTTGGTTTACCCTACTTGTTAAAAAAAAATGGAAAGAAGGAATTACTTGAAAATAAATACACAGGAAATGGAAAGTTTGGTTAATTCCAATGTAAATGGACGAAAACTTTAATTTATATTCTATTTCAGGAGCAGAAATTAGGGCTAAATTTTACCCTTCACAATGTTTTTTAACATGCTATTTAATTTAAGCTTAATTTCGTTTAAATTTTTATTCATATTTTACATCTTGTGAGTGCAGCAATAAAAAATTTGTTTATCAAATAATATTTTGCAAAAGTTTTTTAATAACGATTTTAATCAATATTGATTAATCCCGTTTTGGATAATAATTTTAATATAATTAAATGTGTTTTAAGTGTTTCCTATTAAATTGTACGTAATTCGATTCATGATTGTTTACAGCAATGAAAAACTTAATCACAGCTTTGTTGCTGTGACATAAGTGGATAACAAGTTGAAGCAAATTTTGCTTTCAGTAAAATTATTATGTTACTATAATAAATATAGTAATAACTAGGAAATAACTAATTTTAAATTAGTTTACATTGTTTTCTTAATATTGGTTTCCATTTTTATAAAATTATAGTCAATAAAATTTCTTCTTTAAGATCAAGGTTTTATTATACTTTTTTAATCATGAAATAAAGGTAAAAATTAAATTTCTTGTGTATAAACCATAATTTATTGAGATTTTCTACTGAGTAACAAAAAAATTGTAAATAATTTGAAGTATGTTATATTTTAATAAAAAAGTATTGAAAATATGTTCAACTTGTTTGCATCTTAATATTTTATTGTTGTCTCTACAAGGGAAAATTTTTTCTTGTAATATTTTTTACCTCAAATTCATAAATTTTATGTACTTATTCTGTATCATATGTTATTTTAAAAGTTTTATGTATAAGATTAGCTATTTTATTATTTTTTTACTTATTTATTCATGTTTTATACTTAGCCTGAAAAAGTTATAGATGGTGTTATTATAATGCTATAACTTTTTGTATTTATAAGTAACATATATAATTTGAAATCTATGTATTTCTTTCATTCATTTAAAAAGAATGCTATTTATTTATTTTCCTTTTTATTTTGTACATAAAATGTAAGGTGTCATTGAAACTGAAAAATGAGCTCACCAAATCAAACTTCATTTAAAAAAAAAAAACGGACTTAATAGAATAAAATAAATAAAAGGGCTATGCATAAAAAGAAATTTTCAACTATAAAAAAATTTGTAGTTATCTGCTCAATCACATTCTGAGCTGTGTCAATACAAAGGATAAAAGTATTTTTAAAAAACTCATTGTGAATGATAGTACAATTAAACTCAGTGGCGCGACAGCCCATTGATGGCCAGGGCCTACTGTGCCTATCTCAGTTTTCTTGACCTTAGGCTCTGGGGTTCAAGAGCAGATGTTCCGGTTAAGTGGTCAGCTAAACTTCTGAATAATAGTATTACAAATCATTAAAATAAAGACTAACACCACACCTCAAACTAACTTGCGACTGGAAATAATCAGCTAGTTATATTACAATAAAAATATAGTTAATAAAGAAAATCAGTCACGTATTTTTATTTGTATAATGTTCAAGTTATATGATACAGTTCAACTCTTCTGAAAAAATTGGAAAGTTAAATGCAAAAGACTGGGCATCCTTGCAGTAACATCACCTGTTTATTAGTTTCTTTCCTTTTTTGGTAGCAAATTAATATCCGGTGTGGGACAGATGTGTTGATATCTTATAAGTATTTTATGTATAAATATTTTTTAATTATTAATAGCACGCTTATGATGGAGAGGAAGTATCTTATGGATTATAGTTAATTACAAAAAATTTTTATATTTATATGAATCATTGATCACAGAATTTTAAATGCAATTTACCCGAAATATTTTTTCTCCAACTTGTACAATTTTCTACTGATTTACCTAAAATTCTGACATAATGTTCACAATAAATATAGTTTTTGTTTCGCGTAGGGATTTTTATTATTTTTTATTATTATTATTATTTGGTTTTGAGTGATCCATGAAAACGTAACTTATTTTATGTCTTTTTTTTTTCTTTTTTTTCAAAACACTGCCATTTTGTGAAAACAAAATGTTCAAAAATCCTACATGCAACGAATACTATATTAATGTAGTTTTAAAAAAAATTCAAAACCGAATCGGGTTTGGATTTTTTTTTTTTTTTCGTCTTATGAATTCAGCAATAATTTTAAAAAGTTATAAACATATTGTATTATGTAAGTGCTAATTTTTTATATTTGTAACATTGTAAAATAAAGAATAAAATATGTACAATAAGATAAAAATGTGTTAAGTTAATCCCAATCGTTGTGAGATCCATTGAAAAATCCCATCTTTTTTTTTACAGGCTTCTAATGTTTCAGTCCCCTTAATTAATATATTTTGATTCATAGCCAAGTACTTTTTTTTTCCTTTCATCTGTATTTTTATTATCAAACTGAGGAATAAAATCTGTGTACAAAGTATAATTAAAGCGAGAGTCTATTAAATAAGGGTACAGAAATGGACTTACTATAATTTTGATTCCATCAACAAGAAACTTCCACAATGTCTATATATCATGCTCTTTTTAGACATTAAATATGTTTTAAGAAATTAAATACACTAACAAATGTTCTAAGATTCATAATAATCGATAAATATTCTAAGATTTTACAACGAAGTCTTCCTGCAGTAAATGTCTTCTTTTAACAAAATTTTTAATCAGAATTTTTAATAGCCTTTAAAATATTCTCCATATAGAGAAGTATTAAGAATTTTTTTCTTCAGCAAGTTTTCTACTGAAACCAATCATTTTTATTGAAGAGAACCTCTGCTGTTTATTTTCTTTTGGGGTGTTATCTATAAGTCGATCAAAACTGGCGACCAATGAACAATCCGAAAGTTTTTACAAATAAGTTTTTACATTAGGGATGCCCAATCTGCGGCCCTCGAGCCACATAGGGCCCGCCGACCCTCGATGTGCTGCCCAAGACAGCAATCTAAACAAAATCCACAAAAAAAAGTTTTTTTTTTTTTTTTTAAATTAAAAAAATTCGGAAGTTTGAAATTATATATATAAATAGTTTTTAACGCACCCAATCTCAATGTAGTTCTTCAATCGCTTTTTTTTTTAATAATTTTTAATTCTAATAATTTTTAACCCTATAAATTTTCTTTGAATCAAAGTTTTTAACTTGCATTTATTTTAATTACTAGAATATTTATTTTTCTCAAATTTGATTCTATGAACAATTTTTTTTAATGTTAAAATTTATGTTTAAATGGACTGTAATATGATAAAAAAAGAACCATGAATTTTCCTGAAGTTTATTTCAATTTATCTAATTTTTTTCTAGCAAATCGTTTCTGATTCTGTTTTTTTCCTAAATAATCAGTTTTGCAGTTTCTAATTTTAAACATGTAAAAGTATTTAATTTTATGCAAAGATATTACAAGGTGAACTGAAAGAAAAAAAGAATTTAGTGCCTAGAACAATGATGCTTATATAAAAATCGCTGTCAATATGTCTGAATGAATACTTTGTCATGCGGCCCTTCATTGGTCATTCTTCTGTGCATGTGGCCCTTCACTCGAAAAGGTTGTACACCCCTATTTTACATTCTAAATTAATCATTACTTGTAGTTCGCTATTTGGTTTATGTTTTGAAAAAAATGTGGCCTGACCTAAGTCCATAGCTGGGAAAAGCTTTTTTTTAAATGAAAAAAATTTTGTTTTCAGTGTAGCTCTATTCCTCTGAAACCATACTCTACTGAAATTAGATTTTAGCTGTTACATGATATTCTCTAATTTATATCTATTTTTTGAAAATAATGCGATCATGACCTAAGTCCATAGTTAGAAAAGCTTTTTCATATAAAAACAATTTTGTTCTTATTTTCCAGTGTAGCTCTATTCCTCTGAAACCATTGCACTGATCTCAAAACTAGATTTTAATTGTTACATGAAATGTTCTAATTTATATCTATATTTTGAAAATAATGTGGTCATGAACTAAATCTATAGTTGGAAAAAGTTTTTTTCTTTTTTTTTAAAAAATAATTTTGTACTTATTTTCCAGAGTATTAACCTATAATTTTAAAACTCGATCAGATATTATATAATATGCCATACCAAAAAAGTAATGATTATAAATGACATAATATGTATTAAGTAATTATATATTTCTAAACTCGTATTATAGCGTTAAAAGGCAGAAATTTTTGCTCGATTAACTTATCGATTATTATTGATTTTGCTCGACATTAACTTATTATCGCGATGAGCCGAGATGGCTCAGGGAATAGAACGTTCACCTTCCAATGTAGTGAACTGGGTTCGAATCTCAGCCATGGTTCGTCGATACGAATTCCGCATCCGGCTTGCACCGACCACAGTACTGACGCGAAATATCCTCGGTGGTAGACGGGGTTAGAGTCCTCCAGGCTAACCGTGGAAGGTACTCGTGGTCTTCCTCTCCAGGTAACGCGAATACGGGTTAGTTCCATGAAAAAGTGCGCCACGAAGGCAAATTTCTCTTAGTTGATCTAGGAGTTCCATTGTGGTCTGGATTGCGTTCAAAAATCAAATTAAAACTCGGTCATTATTATATTATTACATAACATACGAAAGAAAATTATTATAGGGCCCTCAATGTGGCCCAATATGTATGTAAGTATGTATATATTTCAAAGTGCGTATAATAGTGTTAAAAGTCTGAAATTGTTGCTCGCTTTACTGAATATATAAATGGCTCTGTATGTCTTTTATATATATATTAACCTATAATATATTTAAAGACCCGATAACTTAAACTCGGTCACATATTATATTGTAATTTACCAAAGAAAACAAATATAGAAAAATTAGGTGACCGCATAATATGTAAGTATGCATATATTATATATCTAAGTGCGTATAACAGTTGGTAAAAGTCGGAAATTGTTGATCACTACTGAATATATAAATGGCCCCATATCTTCCCTGCATATTTACCTATAATTTTCAAACTCGGTCAGATATTATATTAAAATATACTATATCAGGGATGGCGAACCAATGGCACGCGTGCCATATATGGCACTCTACACAATATTTTGGGCACTCCACCGATCACAATTATTGTTTAACTATGAAGCATATGTAACAATTAAATTAAAATTCACAAAAAATAAACAAAATAATAAACAATATTAATAAAAAAATTACAAAATAATGCTAAAAAAGCAATTAATAACCATAAAAAACAAGCTAACAATAAATAACTAGCAAAAAAAATTAACAGTCCTGCTTAAACGAACATCTTACAACCTAATATAAGTTATTGGTCATCTAATCTGCAACTACAGAAGTCACACTAATGTTACTTGAAAGTTGAATTACGCATATAACTGACATATTTCAAAATGTATTTTTTCTCACTATAAATAAAGAGTTTTGAGTTAATAGTATATTTAGTATTATTATTTTCCCAATAATCACAATGTCAAAATTATTTGACGGCACGTCTAGGACCTCATTAAGCAATTTTTTAGAGAAAATGGCACGTTGGTGTATAAAGGTTCGCCATCCCTGTACTATATCTCCATATGAGAGGAAATAATTATAGAAACATTTCAGGTGGGCCACAATGTGGCATAATTTTCAAGTATGGAAGTATATTTTTCTAAATGCGTATAATAAATAGCGTTAAAAGGTCTATATTGTCGCAGTTTTCATTGTATATATAAATGGCCCCATATCTCCCCTTAATATAAACTTATAATGTATAAAATTGGTTATATCTCTTATTAAAATATACTCTACCGTGCGTTTTACCAAATGAAGTAATCATAGACAAATTATGGGCCTTAGAATGTGGCACAATATGGCTGTGCTGAAAAAGCGTGGGAAATTAAAATAAGATATATTGTAATTTTTTTTCCCAAGTGCGCTATATAGTGAAAAAGTTAAAGTGAAAAAATTGTTGCTCATATACTGTTAGATAATTTGCGGCATGCCTCCCCTAAATATTAACCTATAATTTTGAAATTTGGTCAGAGAAATGAAATAATTAGAGAATTTACAATGTGCTCTGATATTTCTCTATCTATTGATAACATTATAGTTATTATACATTTCATGTGTTGCGACAATTCGTCGCAAACCCAACTCGTAGTGAATTTCTCTCGGTTTAGATGAAACATATCTATTGACTATGACATAACTCTTGCATTGTCTACAAAAGTAATTTCCATTTTTGCAGTGGTATTTTCTAAATTAAAAAAAATTACTAAATATTAGTAGCCACATACGTAAATTGAAGACTTTTACAACAGATACTAAGGGCTCTTCATCGCAGAAACTAAGGCTTTCTACGATATGAGACCAGTAAAGTTTCGAACAATATATTTTTCAAACAAAATTAAAAACAGAATATTCCGAATATTTTTTGATCTAAAGAAGAAATTTTTACACACTTCGATGCTATCTTAATTATTCAAGAAGCAAACTTTAAATTAAGCTAATTATACACTGCAGGCGATAGATAAATTATGATATCGCATGAAAACATACAGAAGAGCTCGATATAACATGTACCTCATATTACAATAAATCCGCTATTCCGACACATTTTTGTACATATTTATAACAAAGTTTAAAACTACTAGCCTCTCACCACAATAAGTCTCAATAATTAATCTTCCACTATAGTTTATCTCTAAGGGTAATATTATATGAAAAAGATTGAATGAATTTTAATATATTTCAGTTTGCTGAATATAGGAATCCACAATGGAGATAATATCTTCAATTTCAATTAAAGAGTAGTCAAACTTTTGCAACCTCAGTTTTAAAAGAATAATTCTAAAAAAATTAATTAAAATTTTTAAATGAATTTGAACTTTAATGAGAAAAATATTAAATTAATGAATTTTTGTTTTTTTGGGTTTGCTGAATGCAGGACTCGACAGGGGAGATAATATCTTCAGTTTCAATTAAAGAGTACTAAAGTTTTTGCAACCGTAGTTTTAAAAATTCAATTAGAAATGGAGAAAATTAAAAAGCTTTTCCGCAATATCTGATAAACATATAGGCTTGTTAACAAAATTAAAGTTTCTTAAGGATTCTATTAGTTTTGATTATAGCTGGGGTATTTACCACATTCCTTCACGAATCAGTGATTTGAATCATTGATCAGATTCACTTCATTCGAATAGTGATCCGAATCAGTGATGGGAATCACCTAATAAGAATTAGTTATTCGATTTTCAATTAGTGATTTGAATCAGTTAATTCGAATCATTGATCCAAATGGCAGGATTCGAATCACTGATATGAATCACTTGATTCGAAAAGTGATCCAAACCACATGATTTGAATCACTTGATTCGAATCACTGATCTGAATAATTTTATTTGAATTATTGATCCACAAAGTAGACGCATTTTAATATTTAGATTTAAAGAACATCATAGATATACTAGAATTCGAAAAATCATCAATTGCTGCATATTGTAGAAATTTTGCCTTTAAATCCAATGTCGACAATAATGCCGAAATTACACCAATGCCTAACTTTCGCGCTATCTGTGCTTAGCTCAGGACCCCTTATGCCCTTAGATATCTATCTTTAGCTTTGCGCTGCCAAGGCTGAACTAGATCCATTACTTAACAGACACGGTCAAGCATGCATATCGTAATCGTAAACTGAAACTGGAACTGTTTTTGTTGAACTTGTTTTTGTTTATACTGACTCCGTTGACTGGCATGCACCGAGTAAGTTCTGGTTAACCTAAGTTCTGCATGTTGGCTCGTGTGTATATCTTTTTAGAAATGAGATTTAAAAGTGATTTAAAATAGTTCAATGAAATTAAAACATATTTACTTCGATTAATACTTATGAATTTTAACTCCATTTGATCATTTTGCATTTTACCGTGTATTCATGTATAGTAATTCTGTTTCGTAAATGAAGTATGTACGTAATTTTATTTAATATTTTTGATATTTAGCTCACTGAGATAATCTATTTCAATAAGATTCCGTTATAGTAATAAGATTTCTGCCTTAACGGAATATCTTTTAGTTAGGATTATTATTATTTTTTTTTGTAAAATTGTGTTTATAGAAATAGTTACTTGTGAGTTACTTTAGAGTTGATACTGTGCATACATATAATTTCTATTATCCTGCTGAATTAAGTATTTTCATACATTAAAGTTTAATGGTTGCTAAGAATAGTTAAAAACTTATTAAAAAAAATTGCATTTTAACATACAATGTTTATCCCCTTCTAGTGTCCGAATAAAAATGATAGCTAAATATTGGTATCTTCTGGGCAGTGTCAGACAAATCAAAATTCTGTTCTTTCTTCTTTTCCTCACTGATAATAGCAGAATATTCTAGAATGTAAATGTGATCCGTGCACTAATCTAGAAACGCAATCCTTTAAAATTTTTCTTCTGATTAATATCATTTAAGTTGAGTTATTCATTTTTTTTCAAACTTCATGAATTATTCATTAGTTACAATAAAACTGACACTGTTTTCAATAACAGTTTTAAATCCGAATACTCTTAGTATACTTAGACAAATTAATGTTTTCAAAGCACATAACAAAATAATTTTTTTTTTAAAGAGTCACTAGTATAATTTAATTAAAAGTATATGCATGATCACCCTAAACTATTGCTGAGGTAAAAATTCCTGGAAAATTATTAAAGAGTCATCTATTGATGCATGGTTTTTCAAGGCATGAAAATTTCAAAAATCATAATTCTACTGCATAGCTGGCAACTCTACACTGGATTTTCTAGTATTATTGCTTGCTTGAATCTATAAATAAGTATTGCTAATAATAATGATGAATCAAGCCTCATTAATGGAAATCAGTTAAAAACTTTTTTATGTTCTGAAATGTTTAGTTTATTTTTATTCAGAATTCTCTTATTATGTTAGTTAAAAAAAAAATTCAACTATCTTTGATGAATTAAATGCCTATTACTGTTCAAAGTTATGAGTAAACATAATACATAACATTTCAAGTTTATTTCATCTCTATCATAACTGGAGAATATTGCAGTTTTTGTATTTTGATGACTATAAAAATCCTATTAATTTCTTACGTGCAAAATAAATAGTAAATTAAGCAACAGTTATCATGAAATTTATATTATTTCGTAAAGTGCGTTGCCCTCCCCCAACAAATTGCGATAATATTGTCCATAATATTAGAATAAAAAAAATATTCCATATTCAATTGAAAAAAATTACATTGTTTTTCTATGTTTTTGTAAACACAGCGTTTTTGTTACCTTAAATTAGTAACATGCATCTTTGTTATCATTGAAAGTATCTTGTAGAAAGATATTAGTGATAGAGAAAAGCCGTGCCAGAATCACTATACGGTGACATTGTCGCTGAACTTTATGGAGTTCTTGAAGAACTCTTTTGAAAAGTTTTCTTTTCTGCATAAATTTACATGTAACATTTGAATAACTCCATTTCGGGAAGTTTGATTCGCGTGATTTCATTGTCGATCTTCTTTTGGGCGATTACTACTGCAGATTTCACGTTTTTTAATTTTTTTTTTAATGTGATGATTATTTACAAAATGCAAAGAAGGAAATAATTTGTGCCCCCAACAAAATGAGAGAATATCCCCTATGACAGAGCTCATTCTAGGCAGAAAAAAGGACAGAGTGCAAAAGTTTAAAAAAAGGGCATTATTATTCTAAAAAGACAATAATTTCTTTTTATGGGCTTTACATGTTCTATTAAATAACATTGTTAATTAGAAAAATAATTTTTTTTTTAAACTTTACTGAAAGTAGCAAAGCAATCATATTAATTACTAATTTTTATTAATAAATTAACATATATATCGAGTTAATGAGCTAATTGGCTTAATTTATTTAAAATGCACGCATATATTAATAAAATAATAAATGTATGTTTTTGAGCGTCTGTAGTTATGATTTAATGATAGTGGAAGTAACTGCAAACTTTCAAAGTGCAACAAGGGGGTGTGATGGCTATTTTTCCTTTCCCATATAAATCTGTGTATTGACAGCAATGGCAAACTAAATAAAAAGAGATAAGAACAACAAAAGTTTAGGAAATCCATTGTAGACTTTGGGGAAAAAATAAAGAAGGGTTAAAGACAGAAATGGCAAAAAGGGTATGGAGTCTTATTACATCAGGGCACTAATTTACTTCAGGGGCAACAGGGTGGATTCTTTTGAATGAAAGGGCAGCAGGGTGCTGCGCCCTGTTTACCCTGTCTAGAATGAGCTCTGCCTATGATATTAGAATAAAAAAATATTACATGTTCAATTAAAGAAAATTATATAATTTTTTTTTATAAGCACAGCACTTTTGTTATTTTAAATTAGTAACCTATATGTTTGTTATTATTCAAAGTATCTTGCAGAAAGGTATTAGTGCTAGAGAGTTTTGTCGCAGAAAGCCAAAAAAAATTCTGCCTCGAGGAATAGCAATACGGAAATCTTTATTGTGCTGTAGAGTTAATATTATAGGTTAAAGAGGGGACCCAAAAAAGAGTTTTGATGCTTCCACCGGGATGTGTAACTCTTCAGCACAAAAAATAGACAGTATGACAGCAAATTAAAACCAATGTTATGTAAGCAGAATAAAACCTAACTTATTTCGTAAAAAAAAAAAAAAAAAAAAAAAAAACTATCTTGTAGCATAATTTTTTGTAATTAATAATTGCNAAAAAAAAAAAAAGTTTTTGAAACATTATTTAAAGTGCAATTTTTTTTAATTTCATAAAATTTTTTGAAAATTTCAAAAGTTATAAATAATTTATGTTATTTTTAATTGGTACCCGCTCTTAATAATAATATAGTATAAAAAAAGTCATGAAATTTGGAAATCTTGGGTTCTTAGGATTTGTAGTTCAGAATGTCTTGCAAAATTATTGATAGTGCTATTGCTAATAATTTTTCTTAACTGAATTGGTGAAAATAATTTCAAATAACATTTTCATAACAATATATTCCACCTATTTCTCTAAAAATATTACATGAAGAGATGGATTAAGAAATTATTATATTAGGAGAGGGAAAAGTGCAAATGACAAAAAATGTTTGTAAAAGCGATAAGAATGGCACTATTTCTTTTTGGACAAAGAAAATTTTAATAAATTTTTCAAAATTCAGTATTTTTAAAAATTATTTTCAATTGCTACTCTTGAATTTGTGTAGATTGTTAACTAACATGGTGCTTAGCGTTTTTAGAAAGTGCTTAAAGGTGCTTATTTTCGTTTTTTAAAAGCCCTTAAATTTGCTTTTTTCATTGGGCGTTTTTCAAAAGTGCTTTATTTTCCCTTTTCGAAAGTGTGACTTTTTTTTTTACCCTGTCGATTTTTGCCACATATTATCCCCTGATAATACGCCAAGTGGGCCTACTTTGAATAAATCCACTTGGAAGGATAAGTGGGTTTTTTCAACAAATTTTTTTTTTATTTTTTTTTATTAAAACTTAGTGATGCACATTTACTTTTGTCTAATTTATTGTGCAGCATAAATTTGTCTAATGGAGTAGCAAGATTTATATGATTAAGTTTTTTAATATTTGTAAAGTAAAAGAAACTCGAATCTATAATTTTATAGTACAATTGAAAACTTTAAGTGGGTTTTATAGAGAGAAATTTAAATAATATAGTCTGAAAATATCAATTTTTCAAATATAGTTGCATGCTTTATGCATTAATAAGCAGGTTATTATTAATTCATTAGTTTAAAAAAATTTTAAAAATATTTTTTTTACTAAGTGATACATTGACAAATTTAAACAGTTTTATTTTCTGGCTTTAAAAAAATGAGCTAAAACTGTTTATTAGAGAACTTTTTAAAATTATTTATCTAAAAATGAAACCATTTTCCTAGGGTTAATTATTTGAAAAAAATGGGACAAGTAACTGATACTCTTCTCTTTATAATTATATGTGTAATTTTAATTTCACTTTCTATTATTCATATTATAAACATGGAAGACCATTAAATATTTATTTCAGTTTTTTATTTAACTCAAGTCAGATGAAATTTTAGTTTTTACTGATTATAAATATTTACAGATTATAATTTTATAATGGGTAATATCCATATGTTTAATAAATATAGTAAATAAATGTGTGTGAAAATAAAAAGATTAATAAACCTTTTCTTTTTATATTGCTGCATTTATATTTTATAATGCTTGAGTTAAAAACTGTGAAAGGTTATGTACTTGGCAATAAAGAAGATTCAAATATGTATTAATATTAATGCGTTATTTAAACTTAATATAAAATACATATGACAAAATTAAAACAACTTTTTGGATTTATTTATATTTTTAAGCTTATACCACAGTTCTTAATAAAAAAAATATTTACACAGTAAAACTTCAAGTTCATGAGCACTAAATGAAAAAACCCAATTTCCCCCGGGTTTTTTCAAACCCAGCATATTATGCAAAAGAATGCTTTTCACATTGTTCTATTCATTTTGTTCACAATTCATTCAACCACAATCCATTTTGGCTTACTGTCTGTCCATAGCGTATGAAAGCGCCAATCATTTTGCATGTCTGATGAAATGCTTGCGAGTCCGCATGTGCGTCAACTGAGCTGGGTTCGGTGAGATAATTGCACGCTCCTGTGCAATTCCACATAGCTTTATTTTGCGAGATATTCTCAATTTCAGACTTCATTTTCCACCCTCTGATATCGAATCGAAAAATCTCTTGATCATTTTACAATTTCTAATACAATCAAGAAAAGAGTTCTTTGTCAGAAACTAGTTATTTTATCATGATCATGTCAAGTCTTTGAAAATTATTTTGCATTTTGTTAATGTATAAAGCGCTTAAAAATATTTTTTGAGTGCTTAAAAAGTACTTAAAAGGTGCTTATTTTTTGTTGAAAGACTTGGATATGCACGCTGATTAAATATGAATTGTAATTTTAAAATATTAAGGTATTATTGTGTTCTTGCAAAACATATCTATATAGGGAAAAGTCCCATATCCGCAATCGTCCGGACTTCGGCACGTCCGGAAAATAGATTTTTCCGGATAATAGGTCTTGAAGGTAAACATCAAAACATCCTTATTCAATAGAAAATAACGAAAAGACGATAATTGACATTAACTCTAATGAACAACAAATAAATCAACATGGTTTGCGCGATTTTTGCAACTTTTGTTGCAGATTTCCACATGGTTTTTAAAATCTCGATATTTTAATTATAACATATTGCAAATTCTGAAATAATTATTTCATTTCAGTTAATAATTATTTCTTGATCTACTCGATTAGCCATGATCCCTATGGCAGAATTTTTTCTGGCTTTCTGCGACAAACTTTCCAAGCATTAATATTCTTCTTTAAGATATACTTTTAATTATAACAATTACTAATTTAAAGTAACAAAAAATGTTGTGTTTACAGAAGAAAGCATGGAATAAAAAATTTTAATTGTTAAAGTAATATTTTTTAATTCTAATATTATAGGCGCTTTCTCGCATTTTGTTGGCGGAAAAATGCACTAATTATTTCCTCTTTCGAATTTTGTAAATCATTACACAAATTAAAATTCGTAAATAAATTAAACGATAGTAAATTATAATTCGTGCATAAATTAAAAAATTGTAAAATCCGTGCAGCAACTCCAAAATAAAAATCGACGACGAAATTACGCGAATAGGACTCTTCAAAAAAGATATACTCCAATAAGTGTGTGTAAAACATGTGGTTCTTGAAAGAAAAACAGGGAAAGAAAGAACATCATTTCTAGAGCGAACTATCTTTTTAACTATCTTATTTCTAAATTTTTTATTTTATATTATTTGAAATTCTTGTTGAAGCCAGTCATTACAGATCTTTTTTAAATCCCAAATGAGAATAGAAAAATCACGATTTTTTCTTTCCTCTTTTTATATAGTCTGAAAATATCAATTTTTCAAATNCTGTGTATTTTTGAAATTTTAATTTTTTTAATTAAAACTTTACAGTGCTGAGCATAATCTTGCATTATTTACAATTTAAAAACTCCTTGAAATTTTTTTTTGCAATAACCGGACCCTATTTGTACAAGTTCATAAAAACAGGACCCTGATTGAAAGAATGTGAGTAATTTTTTCACAAAAACCGGACTTTTCACAAAATGTCTGAACAGACCCCAGAAATTTCTACTCATGCATTTGTAGAATTACTTTTCGATTTGTGACGATTTTATTCTCCACCTAATTTTGTCGATAGCATTTTCAACTGTTTGGAATTTCCACATAGTTTTTAAAATTTTGATTTCATTTTTAATATAATATTTAGTTTATTATAATAATCCGCGATTTCGTAATCATGTTTTTGAATACTAATTTAATAACCCGCTTTAGTCGTGACTATTTCATTTCGAATCCGCAATCTTTTTCAAAATGTAAAGTTTTTGCTCACTCTGAAATTGAGTGCGTGATTTGAAGCCGTAATAATCCTTCTATGCGAGATGTGAGGGGAGAAAGGAAAAAAAAAAACGCAATTTTTTTCGCACTGCAGTGAAATGCCGAATTTCGCTTACGTGATTTCTATTTTTTTTCTCTTCAGATTATAGTGGAACTAGGATTAAAAGCGAACAAAAATCGGAAGTCAGATAAAAATCATAAAGAAGCGAGAAAGCGGAGGATTTAAATCTCTGCATACTATTTTATTGTCCCGCAGTGGAATGATCGTTAAGACATGGTTCCCAGCAGATCACTGAAGACAAGCATCACTGGCTGTTTGGCCACTTGGATCAGTCTGCGTAGGGATCGAGGGTGTGTGGATTGGTCCTCGTTAAACTGTTCTACCGTAAAGTGCTCGACTTCGCGTGCAGGTCGTCGGGCTAACGAAGCGGGGGTGCCATCCCCTCTGCAGAGGATCAAAATTGTGATGACATGTCTTCGGATCATCCTCAGGGATGTTTCCCAAATCGTGCAGCTCTAGTGTGACGTAAATGGACTACAATTACAACAATTACTATTTTATTATTATTTTTTTTTGAAAAATAAAAATTCTTTGGTGATTCGAATCACTTATTGATTCGAATCAGTTGTTTTTATCGAAATAGATTTAAATCATAATGATTAATTGTGTCTTAAATTTCTGTTAATTTTGTTTCACAGTGAGGCTATGTCATATACAGTTAAAAATTTCTTGTAAAATCTAAGAGCGCTTTCATTATTAAGGACTTAAAATTTTCCAATTAAAGAATTCGGTGAATTCAGGTAAAAAATGAATATAATATATATATAAAACATTTCTTTTGTAGTTCATTAAAATTTATCATGGTTAAAAAAGTCTTTAATAGCAACTGGCAACATATACAATATAATTATACGAAATATGCAATAAGTATATTTATTTACTTTAAAGAATATATTAATGAGAAAGAATAATACATTAATTTCTATAAGCATTAATTAAAAGAAAAAGAAATGAGTAAACTTTTTTCAAATTTTTTGCCATTTCTAATTGTTTTGAAGCAAAATTTATTCGAATCATGTGATTCGCAATTAAGTGGTTTAAGTCATGTTATTCGAATCAGTGATCCAAATTACTAGATTCGAAATGTATCACAGGATTCGAATCGTTGATTTGAATCATTGAACAGAATCACTTGATTCGAATAGTGATCCGAGTTGCATGATTCGAATCAGTGATGTGAATCACTTCATAAGAATCAGTTATTCGAATCGTTTGATTTGAATTAGCGATCTGCATCACTTAATTGGAATCATTGATCCAAATGGCATGATTCGAATCACTGATCTGAATCACATAATTCGAATAAGTGATTTGAGTAACTTGATTTGAGCCATTGATCTGAATCACTTAATTTGAATCAATGATATGAATCACTCAATTCGAATACTGGCCCAAAATCGCATGATTCGAATCAGTGATACGAGTCACTTTGTAAGAATCAGTAATTCAAATAGCCTGATTCGAATTATTTATCCGAATCGCATGATTCGAACCAGTGATTTGAATAACTTGATTTGAACAATAGATCCAAATCGCATGATTTGAATTACTTGATTCGAATATCGTTCCAAATTACATAATTCAAATCATTTATTAGAATTGCATGATTTGAATAACTTGATTTGAATCACTGATATGAACCACTTGATTTGAATCACTGATATGAACCACTTGATTTGAATCAGTAATCGGAATCACTTAATTCGAGTCAGTGATATGAATCTATCGATTCGAATATCAATCTAAATCACGTCATTCGAATTGTGATTCAAATTACTGATTCGAATCATGCGATTTGGATCACAATTCAAATCAAGTGGTTTAGATCAGTTATTCAAATCAAGATATACAAATCATGCGATTCGCATCAATGATTTGAATCATAATTTGGATAAATATCTGAATCAAGTGATTCATATCAGTTATTCGATTCACGCGATTTCAATCATCATTCGAATCAAGTGATTATTTTGATCAGTGACGTGATTCAAATCACTGGCTCGTATCATGTGATTCGGATCACTGATTCGAATCATATGATTCGGATCACTGATTCGAAGCATGCAATTTGTATCACTATTCAAATCAAGTGCTTCAGATCAATGATTCAAACCCTGCGATTCAGATCAGTGATTCGATTCACGCTATTTGGATCAATGATTCGAATTAAGTTACTCATATAACTAATTCTTATTAAATTATTCAAATAACTGATTCTTTTGAAAGGATTTCGATCAATGATTCGAGTCATGCGATTTGGATACATATTCGAAAAAAGTGATTCTGATTGATAATTCGGATCAGTGATTCAAATTATGACATTTGGTTCAATGATTTGAATTAAGTGATTCAAATCAAATTATTTGACTAACTGATTCTTATGAAGTGATTCATATAGCTGATTCGAATCACGCGATTCCGATCGCTATTCGAATTAAGTGATTCTGATCAATGATTCAAATCACCAATTCGAATAATTCGATTCAGATCTCATTTCGAATCTAGTAATTTGGATCGCAAATTCAAATAACATGGCTTAAACGACTTAATTGTGAATCACGTGATTCAAATCAAATGCTTCAAAAAAATTTTAAATTGGAAAAAAGTTTACTTAACTATCACTATTTTTTTTTTAACTAATGTCGAGAGAAAAAAATTATTCTTTCTCATAAATGAATTCTTTTAATTAAATAGATATACTTATTATATCTTTTGTATAATTATACTGTTATATGTTGCTAATTGTTGTAAGGACTTTTAACTGTGGTAAATTTTTAGAAACTATGAAAGAAATAATTTTATTTTATTTATTTTTTATCTAAATTCATTGAATATTTAATTGGAAAATCTCAAGTCATTTATAATGAATGCGTTGGAATCTCTTAAGTTTTACAAGAAATTTTAAACTGTATGACGGCAATTGCTGTGAAGCAAAACTGACAGAAATTTAAGAAACAATTATTCCTTATACTTTAAATTTATTTTGATAAAAACAAATGATTCTAATCAGTTGCAAGTTGGTGATATGAAGCACTGAATCAATTCAGTGATTCGAATCAGGACCCAATTCTAGAATGTATTTGCATGATAACAATAATGGGTATATTTATTTAAGATTATGCATTTGGGTATTTTTTATTTTGTGTTTAAAATGTTCTTTTGAAATTTAGAATGCATGAGATGGGAAAAGCACTTACTCAAGCAGTCAGAAGTATGGATGAAAAAAAACTACTTCAGTTCGCACTTCAAAATGTGAGTTTAGTACTATGTTCTTATCTTTCCTGTCAAGTGGCATCTAAAAGTTGAAATTATTCACTTTTTCCAACTAGTTGGAGCACTCAGATCTTTCTGATCTCTGTGCTTGTTGACAATGTAAATTTCAAATAATTTCTGATCTGTACAAGCTGAACTTTTCATTTTATTGCCAAATAGTCAATAAAATTATTGATTAATTATTATTAATAATTGTTTTGTTCTCAAAAAAATTCCAACTAGATGGAGCAAAAACAGGTTTTTCGACATGACATGTCAAATAAACCTGTTGAAAAATGTCAAAACTCGAGACAAGGTACTCTTTTGTCATTGGGGGCATTTTATTACAATTTAAATCATGCACAATATTTACATTATTGTTATAACTATAATTATGATTTATGCAATATACATGTTTAAAAAATATAGCCAAAATTATTGAAACCATTAACTAGTTTTTCTAAAAACATCGTAATACGGGAAAATCAATATTATTTGTTATATTATAATTACTGTACATCGCCGTGTATAAGTCGACCCTTTATTTTTGATTATGAAATAGTGAATTACTGGTATGTCAGGTTATTAATTGACCAATAAAAAAAGACAAATGTAAAAATTTTTAAAGGAAAAAAAATAATAAGCTATTAAGTCCACAGAAGTTTTTTAAGCTAAAAATATTTCACACTTTTCTTCTAGATATTTCTAATATATTTTCTAATTTTTCTAACACATTTTTCTAATATATTTGCCTTCAATAAGGATGCATGTAACGTTACTGAATCTCACATTGATGGGTAATCTGTAATTTTTAATGTTGTAGCCTTTTGATATGTTTTAAAAATTTTAATTGCGTTATAGATTTTGAAATAGTCTTCAATAAATTATCTTAACTTCTCTTATTCTTAGTTTTTTTTTTAAATGTACTTTAACAACATTTCTAAAAAAATTCTTTCTATGCAAGGAAGATATAATGAAAGAAAATGCAAAATTAAATGTATGTGACATATTTTTTTTCTTATTCTCAATATTTGCTTTTAATACTTATATGTACACGAACATTGTCTAGAAATCATGATAATAATTTACAAAAAGAATTTTTATTAATTAATTAATAATAATAGATGTTTGTTTAGTTAGTTAATGATTTTCTTTTTCTTCTTTAGAGATCAAAGAAAGATAAGTTTTCCTTTAAAGATGTTGTCAAATGTCTTAGCACTGATAAGATAGATGAAATGTGTGAACAGCTTAAATTGATGATTATCAAACATTGTGAAATCATGTTCATTCATAAGAATGATAGTTTTAAACAAACGAAGGTAACTTCTCTTCTTTACACTTCTTGAAATATGTTGTTCGTTTTAGTTGAAATATAAAGTAAAATATATTTGTATTATTAATTGTTTTTAAATTGGATTTGATATTTATTTGTATAAATGCATGGAATTGCACATTTATTTTATATGTAATTTTATAAATTAATTCTTAATATTTTTTTTCATTTAGTTTTTTTTTTTAAGTAATAAATAACTATTTTAATGTGTAGGTACTACTTGCCCCAAGTTTCATTCCAAAGTTATAATCCTAATTTGTGGCCTTCCCTTGTAAGTTTACTACTTAAAATGAGAAAGAATCACTTTCAAAAAGACGTATTTGATTTGATCTATATGGTCAGATACATTGTTTTTGTTAGGTAAAAAACAACGGCATAAGAAATTACTGCAAATTTCTCAGTTGAATATAATTCGGACGTCTAATTTCCAGTTACAAAAAAAAAAAAAACAGTGTTTTTTGAAGGGCGACCTGCCCTGCTTGCCCTTTGATTGCAATAAGTGCGCCCTTTTTGTAAAAATAAGCTGCCTTTCTAAAAAATAAAAATGTTCTCTAATTCAATAAAAATAGGGTTCTGAAATGCTCTGAATTTTCTGTTAGTTGTAAACTTTAAGTACTCAAATATTGCATACCACTTTTAGATAATTTCTGAGTCCAGCCGAATACTCCTAGCTGTGATAGATATTGCTCAAGTGATATTAGATGAAAATTTACCAATTTCAGTAGCCTTTTTACACATGATTGTATATCTTAATGGTATGTTATTTATTTTATTATTCTGGTAGTCATAAAAACATGATAGTTTATCTTATTGGTTTTGAACTTATTTTATTGTACTAATAGTTGAAAAAACATAATTGTTCAACTTAATGGTATTTTTTTTCTTTATTTTATTGTTCTTAAACATGGTGCCTAGTGTTTTTAATAAGTGCTTAAAGGTGCTTATTTTCGATTTTCGTTTTTTAAAAGCCCTTGAAAGTGCTTTTTCATTGGGTGTTTTTAAAAAGTGCTTAATTTCCCCTTTTCCAAAATGAGATTTTTTTCTTTACCATGTCGATTTTCCCCAAGTGTTATGCAAAAGCATGCTTTTCTCATTGTTCAATTCAACATTTTCATAATTCATTCAACCTCAATCCATTTCGGCATACTGTCGGTCCATAGCGCATGAAAGCACCAATCATTTTACATGTTTGATGAAATACTTGCGAGACCGCATGTGCGTCCATTGAGCTGGGTTCGGTGAGATTCTTGCACTCTCATGTGCAACTGAGCAACATTTTGCAAGATATTGTCAATTTCATACTTCATTTTCCACCCTCTGAAATTGAACCAAAAAATATCGATCTTTTTATTGTGGCTAATATAATCAAGAAAAGAGTTTTTCGTCAAAAACTAGTTATTTTATCATGATCATGTGAAGTCTTTGAAAACTATTTTGCAAATAGTGCTTAAAAATAGCTTTTTTGAGTGCTTAAAAAGTACTTTAAATGTGCTTATTTTTTGTTGAAAGATTTGACTACGCACCCTGTAAAAAAATTAAGCAAAGTTCATACTAAAATTTAAACTTTTTTCAATAATATGTTTTCAAGTTTAAATTATTATAAATACATTTGAAATGTTATTATAATAATTTATTTTAAAAAATTATGTAATCTGTGTTTGATCATCTCCCATTTTAAATTTATTTATTTTGCATTAATTTTATGGCTACAAATGTGCATTTTCTGTTATTGTATTTTCTGGTGTTTGTTAACTTTTCGAACCCCTAAATTATTGCAATAATTCAGTCGTCTACATGCACACCAGTAACACCTTTGGACAATAAGATTTTTTTTTCAAAATCTGATTCTTATCATACGAAATTTAATTAATTTTTTGATAAATACCTGTCATAATAAAAGGAGCACTATTAAAGTAAAACAAAAACTTTTATGAAACAATAATAAATTATTTTTATATATCATAAGGATTCGATTCTACTGTAGGATTCAGTTTCATCTTTCTTTCCTGAGTATTAAAATATTACTTTTGGTACCATCTAAAGAATTAAAAAATTACGCATTTCTAAAAAGATTTTGTTATTATATTTGCAACATTATTTTTTCATGCATCCAGAATGATTTGTAACAAAACATCAGTTTTTCAGAAACTGGAAAGCTTTTGCGGAACTTTTTTTTGGAATTATACAAATTGAATGAATTTATCAAAATCAGATCATTAGAAAACATAAATTATAATTAGTAAAAATTGATGCACATTCTGGAGAGTTTGTATTATTTTATCAAAATAAAGTGGTTTTGGATAAAGTGGTAGGAAAAAGTTTGATTATTTTACTTATAAAAAATTCATTTTTAACAGAATTTTGCATTTATATGGATTTGTTTTTTAAAAAATGTAAATTCATGGGTCTTATATTTTGGATATTTGAATTAAAATAAATAAAAAATTTAAGGTCAAGGAAAATGATTTAACTTACCAATTCAAATTATAAAATTTTCTGCAAATTGAATGTTTGATGTTTATGTGAGAAAAAGTGTGTGAACGTAAATTGTAAATGCCAATCCTCAATGTCAAATATTTAATTCTTATGTATTAATTAGCAAACAAATGTTAAAGCATTTGTTTGACGTACTGCACCTTTCCAACAATAGTGTCATAACTTAAACATTTTGTTTTTTTTTCTTCAAATTTTTATTATTTTTATTAAAACACCATTTGGGATAGAAAAATAAGCTCTATAATCTAACAAGCAATTTCAAGTTTGATGACTTAAATTTCCATTTGGTGATGCTTGCAATATGATAAACCAAAAGAACTTGGGAGACAGTATTTTATGCTTCCTGGTAGAATTCCTTTTTTTATTTTTATTTTTGACACTGTTATTGGACATGTTTAATATTATGTTGAATTTTAATCTCTGTTACCTAAAATGCGTTAATTGTACTTTGTAAACACCAGTGTGACATTATTTATAATTGAAATAAAGTTTCTTGATCTAAGTTAAGTAGTTTAAAAAAAATGAAAAGAGTTGCATTCTTTTTATTTTATAAATTAGGTATAGTTTTATATAAAAAAGAAAAAGAAAAATTTCAATGCTTGATTTAAGATTTTAAATATTTTATATAATCAATATGCTCAAAATTCTTGCAAATCCTAGGGAGGTCCACTTTCAGTGGATCCCCTCTCACGTCAACGTCCCTGGTAACGAAGTTGCGGATATCCTGGCTAAAAGAGGCTGCTCTGAGATGGCAACTACCGACTATGACCTCACTTTTCAAGAGATTTTCTCAGTGACGAAAAATAGAGACCGGCAGGTCTGGCTCTCCCCTCCTGCCCATCCCTGGTTCTGTAGGAAAAGACCAGGATGTGCATTGGATCTTGAGGCTGACAGACAGGCTCAAACGGCCGCCTCAAGATTTATCAGTGGGCACCTCAAATGCATGACCTTTGAATGCGGCCGCAAAGTCTTTCCAACGTGCACCAAGTGCCATCTGATGCCGGCCTCCCCCGATCATATCCTCGACTGCTTGGGGCTCGCTCTTGCGGACATCCGTGATAGCCCACTTCAGGTGCTTGATTTTGCTAGGGTCCACGGTCTCTTGGATTTGATCTAGCTGTCGCTAGATCCTGAAGGATTGGACACAACAACAGCAAATATTTTATGTATCAGTTTAATAATAACTTAGGTCATCTAAGTTTGTTGTCAAAACATTTGATGGTTTCAGTTTATGTGCAAGCTTCCATGAGGAACTGCTTAAGTTGTTCTGAGAATTGGCGAGCAGAAGCAAGCAACAAGCCGTAGACTCTCAGTCTTAATGAAAAATTTTAAAAAAACGGAGATTTTTAATTGTACTATTTTTAACTGCAAGAGAATTGATACTATTATAAGAATTCATGCAAGAAATAAAATTTTTTGGGAGAGGGTGGGAGTGGATACTTAGAGTGTTAAGATCATAATACGATGTAAGATAACAAAATAGTAATAAAAAAGAAGTAAGTATTCAAGCTGGATTATTTTAAGCTGTTTGACAAATTGATTTTCTTTTTAATAATTTAAATTTTCTGTGCTTTTAAAGCTTCTCTTGTGTATTTTTTTTTTCAATTTACTTTTCTAATTTGATGTCCTTGAATGAATATTTTCAGGTATTCTGCTGGACTTTCCTGCTATACTGGAAAGTTTACAAAATAGAGTTGCCCAACTCTGCGAAAAGATGTTCCACAGAAATTATGTAAATCAAAACCAGTATTTTACTTTCAATACATTAATATATTTGTTGAAGAGGACATTAAGAACTAAAGCTACTGTAAGTATTGTCCTTATTTTATTTGATAAAAAATGTTCCTTTCTTGAATCCATAAATGTTAAAATAACCTTAAACAATTGTTTATTTGTTTAAATTGTTAATTGTTATATACTGTGAGAGTTAATTAGTCGTTACTTATGTATTATTGTTTCTTTTTTGTTTTACTTTTTACATTGTGTCATTAGGAAGATTTTACAACTCTATGTTGAGTTCCGTATGCTCCCATGCGTAAGATGTGAAACAGCTGCACATGTTCACGTTTCTGCTTTCCTTTTTTCTGAAATGTGGTTTTACAAAGCTACAAGTACGCTTTTCGCAGCTGTTAAATGTTGTTTTTTTGTTTATGTTCTACCTTCAGGGCCGGATTAACCTATAGGCACACTAGGCACGTGACTAGGGCCTACAAAATTCAGGGGTCTACGAAAAATTTGGGAGAAAAAAATTTTTTGACAAAAATAATTTAGCTTTAAAAACAACAAGTGTATTTTGCACAAAATTATGAAGATACAAATAAAAATATAATATTTTTCGGTANAGAACAATTGGCTGGATGATTCCCTAGAAATGATTTTTTTCAGGAAGTGACAAGTGAAAAAAAATATTGTGTCAGAAATGTTTAATTTTTTGGGGAAGTGCTTAGGAAGGTACTTAATAATAAATAAAATAAGCAGCCACGTTTAATAATATTAAGAAATACTAAAATTAGTAAATTTTTTATTCAACTGAGAGAATAATATTTTTAGTTATAAGCAAATGTAGAGCAATAACTCTAATAAAAAGTTGTTCGGGAAAAACAAATCTCCTTTGCTGTCACAAGATACTGGAAGATCAATTGTTTTCACTATATCATATATTTGGTAGTAACTATATCACATATTTGGTCACTTAAACTTGGCCTCATGGCATTAACTTTCTCTCGGTTATCATTTTTTTCCCCAGTATTTCCCATTTTACTTTAATATTTTACAATTATAAAATTCATGTGTTTAAAAGTTCCTGTTTTAAGTGAAATGTATTAGAGCTTTTAATTACTGTGCTGTTGAAATATTACATCAAAACATCTAATAAAGTCTTTAAAAAAATACACCTTGCCTTCTGTATTGTTAACCTAACTTTTTTCTGTTTCTCTACATTTTTTTATTTCATGCAAAGAGTCACCCAGTTGATTTAATTAAAAATTAATTTTTTAGTTTTTTTGTTGCTTATGGTTTTCTAATTGTAATAAGTCCATACGAAACTAAAAATTTTTTTCTTCGTTATTTAAAATTGTTGAATGAATTTACTTTAATTATAGAATTTAGTTGGAAGAAATTTAACTTCTATAAACATCCTTGTAAATGTTTGTTTTGATTTTGTGATAGAAGATAATGCTCTACTTTAGCAATGTTAACTTTCTATTTTTTGCAAAATCTCTTATTTTCATTTTTGAAGTTTGATATTTTTTTAAAGGCGCATGCGTATTTTTCCCGAATTGATGCATGCACACTTTAAGAGCATAAACACTATTGCTTCAAACAATTCGCAATTGCATCTGTGTTACAGAATCTTAACGTAAGAGTATGAAACCTTCCTATTTTAACACACTATTATCATTTAAAAAAAAATTTCTTATGGCTGTTGTTTTCTGTTTTAAAATACTGGCTTTAATTTTGGTACAATGAATATTAAGTTGTGTTCATTATTTTTATTATTTAAAATGCCTACAAATGTTAACTATAAACTATCTATGTAATTAATAATTCTTTGTTTAGTTTTAAAAATTTATTAATTATACTTTACTATTTCGTTTATTTGTTTATGTATTGCTGTGTTTGTATGTTAAGACCTATATTCAGCATTTTGTATTTATGCTTGTTCTAAGCTGATCCAGAAAGTAAGTACCATTTGCACATATCCTCTCGTGCATCTGATATCAGATATAGTTACTTCCTCTCATCAAGCAAGGCTACCTATTTTGTTTAATTCTGCAAACCATAGCAGTCATTTGTTTTTCAGTAATCAGGTTTTAAATAATCAATTAGGCAAAGTGAGCCAGTTTTAAACATTCAACCTTTCTGCAGGCAAATAGGTTAGGATGTTTAGAATTCAGGTTAGAAAATTCAGGTTACAGAAATTAGGTTGTGAATCTGCAGCACTATCTTCATTAACCCGACCTCAACCCAGCTAGACAGAGTTAATTATTATTGTCTAAAATCCAACTTAATCTAACACACATACAGCAAAATTTGTGAACGTAAGATTTTCATGTTTAAATTTAAGTTGAATTTTGTACAACGATAGTAAAATGGAATAAATGCCTCTAAAGTTAAACCTGTAATGAAGTAATATGGGGAAAAAAATTCTTTAATTTTAACTGTATTTTTTTCTATCAGTTCAGCTTTTAAATTTTAACAGAAACAAGTTTAGAGATATTTTTTTTTTAAAAAAAGTTATCTGAGCAATTTTTCTCCTTTTTTTTTTTGTTTTTTAATTAGAACACCTTGATAATATGCTGACACAGTAATAATCTGCAATACCTGCTGTAGAAGTAACGCAGTGGATGCCGCCGTTTGTTGTGCATTTTCAAGCGATTTCTAATTTCTAATTTGTCAGTATCATTTCCATTTGTCTGGAAAAACTATACAAAATTATTACTGAACATTTGCACTGCTAAAAATTATGTGCAAAGACACTACAACTGTAAACATAGTACCCAATGTGATAAATACAAATATTAAACAATGAAGAAATATTGGTGAATTTTTGCAGCAAAAGAAAATGGTTTTATGCAATGGATTTGCTCTGAGACATTTGAATCTGTATTTTTTAGGAAGAAAAAGTGTTTTAAAATAGGTAAGGAATTCTGTTGGCGAACTGGAGAAATCAATTCTGCATTCAGACTTCCAGTATTGTGTTTGTGCAAATGTCGCGAGTTAACTGCTTCGATTGCTTTGTCAGGAACAGTTTTGTCACCCATAGTTCGCGCCTATCTCTATTCAACTTTAATCTGTTTTCTGATCTCAAGAAATTTATTGCTGGCAAAAATTTTACGAGTGATGATGAGATCAAGGTAATCATCTAGAACTGGTTCAGTTGGCAAGCAGCGAAGTTCTATGAAGCAGGTATTTTTTTTGTTTATTTTATAACCGTCGTTGAACAGCCGGCCCAATTTTCGGTTTACGACTACTGATGTTCAACTCTGTAGCCTTGCAATTTTGAACCCAATCCAGACGACAAGGGAACTCCTTGATCAGGTATTGCGAGAAATTTGCCTTCATGGAGGACTTTTTTTTATGGAACTAACCTGCATTTGCGTTACATGGAGAGGAAGACCACAAAGACCTTCCATGGTTAGCCTGACTGCAAGGGAACTTTAACCCATGATCATTGAGAATATTTCATGTCATCACTGGTCAATGCAAGCCGGATGCAGAATTCGTATCGACTAGACATCGCTGGGATTCGATCCCGGTTCACCTCATTGGAAGGTGAACGCTCTATCCCCTGAACCATCACGGCTCTATGAAGCAGGTATGTAGTAACTAGTTCCAAGATATTAGGCATGTCTTAATTTGCATGTTATATGTTTCGAAAAGTACAGGCATTTAGATTTTTCTGTGCTGAAATAGAAACGAAAACAAAATTGCTTATCTTTTTAATACCCAAATGGTACTTAATTTTTGGATAAGCTTTATATAATTAATTTCCAGTTCTAGTTTACTTAAATTTTTACTTTATTTAATTCGAAATTCGTTAAACGAATTTCGTTTTTAATATTGTTTTGTTACAGTTCAATTAAAGTATTTCTGATCTCGACTTTAATATGTAAAATGGTATTTGTATTTTAATTACTTTTCTGTTTCTTTTAATAAATTTAGTTGCTACTTCTTACATTTTTGTTGATTGTTTATCTTTCTTTTTTTCGGTATCTTCTTCTTTCCACACAGTTTCCTATTTAAAGCTTACTTTATTCTATTTAGAATAACTTTCTTATTTCAAATGACTACTGAAAAAAAAAAGAAAACTTTCCATTATAATATGAAACTAAATTTTTGTGGTATTTATTTAACATTGCAGGCACTTTATAATTAACACCATAAATTAATTTTAGTAAATTTTATATGTAAAATAAAATATATTTTTTAATGTCTCTGAATTACACATTTTTATTGAAGAAATTCTGTTACAAAACATTAAAAGTTATTTTTAAATTTTTTGAAATTAAATTAGAAAAATCTCAACAAGCACTTAATGTTTCAACCGATACAGTCTACCAAGCATGGAGTTCTTTTTTGTTCAAAGGTACGCATTTTGATTATATTTTCATTTTTTTTTTTTTTTTTTTTTTTTTTTTTTTTTTTTTTTTTTTTTTTTTTTTTTGTGATATTGTGTCTTACTTTCAATTTGAGGAGGAGTCATTTTGATTATTCAGGAAGTTAATACTAAATTTGCTATATTAATGAGAGATTTGTAAGTAAAAGATTCATTATTGTTGGCATATCCTGAAACTAATAATCAGAGCATGTTGTGATTATTTTTTTTATACTTTTTATTTTTATTGTTAGAAAATCTATCTATATTTTTCATTTTGTTATGGATGCATTCCAATTTCTCCTATTTTAATTGGAGATTTACTTAAATATTTTAAATGATGATAATAGATTTTATGTTTTGCTTTTTTATTTTTAATTTTGTAGATTTGTTTCATATTGCTTTTGACCTCTATTATGGTTTTGTGAATTAAAAAGGGGGTTGACAATTTGAATAAAAGATATATACATTAAGATGAATGTGTTTCATTAGTCTTAAAGATAACTCTAAAAAAGTGTCATAGGATGCCTGTTCGAGTGCCTAATGTTTAATTTTAATATTTTATGGCTTGTTCCAGCTATTCCACTACAAACAGAACAAAAGTTTTGTTTGTAGTTGACAAGTAGTAGACAGCAGTTTTGTAGTAGACAACAAAACAAAATATCTTTAGTAAATTCATATTTTTGTCTAGTTTTAAGCAAATTTTTTTTGGAATGGATTTGAGTATAGTTCTGTATTATGCAACATTAAGTAAGTAATCCATTTTATTTTTCTATTAATCTTGAAGTGTACATGGACAAGAATGATGGGTAAAAATAAATAAGTATATTGTTATAATTGCTATAATTCATTATTTTTTGGGATTGGCAAGCTGACTAGATGATGCCTGACACTTTTAAGTCTGAATTAAGACATTTTCTATGATAAGTAAGGATTTAAAAAAAATGGTCTGATTTGTTGAATAAAATGTAAGCTAACTCAAAATTTCCTTGGGTTAGTCATGTGTTTTGTGGTCCTGCATTATTTATTATGTTACAGAAGGTTGCAAGGTTATGTTGTAAGGCCTTTTTTCTGTTGACTAAGACTGGGGAATGAATGACATTTTATATCATGATACATATTAAGTTAGACAGCATGATACATCTATGCATTGTAAAATAACATAGGTTCGGAAATTCGTTTATTTTAAACAGAACAAGAGGTAACAGAAAGTCAGCTTTGAGTCGAAATCTCACAATCAGAAATCTTAAATTAAAAAGAAAATTATATATTTTTTTTAATACTAAAAATTGAATTCTAAAAATAAACGTAATCTTATTTAAATTTTTTAAAAATAAAATCCACTGAAGATGTATTAGTTAAAAAATAATAACAAAATTCTGCAGAGTTTATAGTTTTGCCCTGGTTTTTACCTTTTTATTCTGATATTCCAGATTTTTGTGTGCGTTCTGAACTTCCCAGTTTCTGAGATTATAAATGCAGATTTTTATATAATAGAGATGAAGATATTTGATCCAACATCTCATAGTTTTAACTAATAATTTTTATAGAAATTGCTAAATTCAATAGTTCGAATTTAGGTATCTTCTACTGAATATCTATATGGTTCAGTCTGGCATGTAGTCTTATCCATAGGATTAATTTTTTCAATCTTTTTTGGAATTCTGACAGTCTATGACGAAGAAACTTGATTAACAAATTTTTATGATGGTGGATTCAGGGGTCAATTGTTTATAATTTTCAGCAAATGTAGTAAAAAATCTTGTTAGATTGAGTTTTGTAGTTTCACAATTACTGATTTGTCTCTCATAGGATTGTTAAAAATTTGTAAACAACATCGATTCCAATCAACAGTACAGTAATTATAAGATAGAATTTTTAAATAGTGAATTGAGGGATTGTCAATAAAATTATTTTTATAGAAAAATGTTAAACAGCAGATCAATGTATTTTCATTTCGAGATTACTGGAATGCTACTTTAAAAAATTTTTTTTTTAAATTTTTGAACTCTATTACAATTTTTAATGATATATATTTGTACTAGGGAATATTAGCTGATTAATTATGGTTATTTTTTAAATGCAACATTAATATTAACTATAAGTTGTTCAGTATTGCAGAGGCTGTTGCGAACCTTTTTTTTTTTGTGGTGGTGAACTAAAGCAGACTTTTTTTAAAATGGATTTATTAAAACAGTTTATTCTAACTTAAGCATTCGTCTCCTTGACCTTATTTGTTCCTGTATTTAGTCATAGATACCTACTACTAAGAAAGATAATTTCTGGCATTGTAGAGAATTTGTTATAGTTGGAGTCTCAGGTATTGATAAAATCATACTGGAAATTGATAAAACTTTCTGTTCATAGCAAAGTAATTCTGATATTGAAAGTACTCTGTTTTATTATTCTTTTGGAATAAAATATACTTTTATTACAACTAAATAGAGCAAATTAAACTTTTTATTTTGCCTTTTTTAAAAGTAGTATCGTATATGTCAGTTAAGAGTGAACAATCTGTGGCCCGCCAGCGGTTGATGTGCATTCTGTGAAAGTGTTTGAACACAATAAAAAATTGTTATTATTAATCTTTTATTTATTTATTTTAAGAAATATGAAATAAGAATAAAAAAAATTTTCTTGAGATTTTTTAAATCCAGGTGTTCAAACTACGATGTTGCCACGATGTGCAATTTCTACCTGCACATCTTTTTTTAATGGGATTTGTGCCGATTTCATCGTAAATTCCACGTTGCAAAATTCTATAAGTGGAATAATACATGAATTTGTAACTATTCATTGCTTGCACTTCAGTTTCTAATTTCTTGTAGCTTAAATAGTTTTTTTTAGAGGAAAAGAATGAGAATGTCCACATGTCTATATAAGCATGCAACCAATTCTTTGGTCAACCTGCTGTGCAAGTGGTCCTTTGTGCATGAAGTTTGTCCGTCATTAGTTCATCGATATATTCTGTTCTGAAAAATGTTCTAATTTTTTTTGGAAAATTTTGTCTTGATTTTTTCTCTGGCCACTGCAAATATTGAATTCTAGGAAAATATTTTACTTGCATGTTTTGAAAGATATTTTTTAAAAATTAAAAAGATGGTTAAAAGGCAAACTAAAGCAGTTGTGCACTTATAAAACAAAGTGTTTAATTATTTTTAGGACAAAAGCAATACTTAACAATTATTTATTTATTTTTATTTTTTTGAAGACAAAAATGATTAAAGAAGCACTACTGTAAGAAAACACAAATAATTAAATTCGAAAAGGATAAAACTTCTTTGAAAAATACGCACTAAGAAGCAGCAGAAATTTCAGAAAAAAGTATCAATACAAGAAACGAATGAAATAAAAATAAAAATATGACCACCGAAGCCGACGTCTTCAAGGGGTACCGGCCTCGGTAGCCATTAAAAACAAAACCATTTCTATTTGAGGGAGAAGCAAAAGCTTAAAATATCTCCCTCAGTACCCCGATGGTTTTGTATAGAGGTCCAGGAAAAACAAGATACATTCAAAATAATTAACAAATTAAGAAAAGAAACTCAATCAAAATCATCAGAAAAATAAAAACTCACTAAGTCACAGGTCACGCATCATAGTCGTCTTGACCTGTGACTTAGTGAGTTTTTATTTTTCTGATGATTTTGATTGAGTTTCTTTTCTTAATTTGTTAATTATTTTGAATGTATCTTGTTTTTCCTGGACCTCTATACAAAACCATCAGGGTACTGAGGGAGATATTTTAAGCATTTGCTTCTCCCTTAAATAGAAATGGTTTTGTTTTTAATGGCTACCGAGGCCGGTACCCCCTGAAGACGTCGGCTTCGGTGGTCATATTTTTTTTTTTATTTCATTCGTTTCTTGTAAAGAAGCACTACTGACATTCGTCCAAAATATTTTATTTACATATATTGAAAGACGATACTGGAAAATTGAAAGAATGGTAAAAAAATAATAATTGTCCCTGATTAAATTATTATTATTTTTTTTTTGGTGTAAGTATATTATTTAAATTATGCTTCCTCTATTTGAATTTTTCAACTTGTAGCATATTGAATACATTAGATTAATGTATTGAACATGTTGAGCTGAAGACTGTTATTGGAATTATGAGGTGTTTCCAAATAGGACAAAGAAAGGTATTTGTTATCAAACAATAGGTGAATTGAAAAAATTATAAATTATTGTGATTTTCAAAGTGTAATTTTTTTTCAATTCTATTTTCTTAACATTATATAAATGTTATTGAACTAGTGAATTCCCATAAACAATTGTTATTAATAACCTTAAAGAAGGTTAAAATGTTCCTAATTGCTTTATTAATATTTCTATTCTGCTTAATTCACTATAAAATTATTCTAAATATTGTGTAGTAAATGTTTTTAATGTATTTCATGTATACAGTAATTTGTATGCATGCAGTTTCATGTAAGTGGCAGGAACCAGTAAAATTATTTCCTTTTTTTTATTTTTAGAAAGCAGATTTAAGTCGTATCTATGCCTTGCGCTCTTTGATACCCAAGATCCTGACTATGGAAAATATTAATAAAAGTGACATCTGGGAGTTGCTTAAGAAAATTACTGCTTCCACTTTGTATAGCTCTACGCCGAAGGTAATTCTGTTGTAGCTCAATATAATATATTAAGATATCTATCTAAACCTAATGAGATATATTGTAGGAATTTGTAAGTCTCAAATGAATATTTAATTATTAAATCTGTTACAACTAAAAAAATTTTAATTCATTAATTTTTTGCATAGCTTTGTATTTTTTAAGATAAAATTGTTTTTTCATATTTCTCCTTCCATATTTTCCCTTTAAAAAAAAGAAATTTCATTTCTGAATGGCAAATTTTAGATTGAACATATGCTTACCTCTAGCTATTGGTTAGAACGCTAGAGTCATTTTTGGGAATAAAGCTCCCAAATTTTGCTCATCTTTGCTAAACTTATTACTCGTAAGTTACTGCACAGATTTTATCTTATGCTTTTCTTCTTTTGATCTTTGCTCACCAGCTTTTGATCTTTGCTATCTTATGCTTTTTTTCTTCTTCATTTATCTTTTAAAACTTTTTTTTTCTGTTTTGTTCTTTTATTATGATGCACTGTGAAACAACTGTGATTTTATTTTTTTTCAGTAGCCAGTTTGTAATAGTTATGAAATTATTTTAATAATTTTAGTTAGGCAAATTAAGTACTTTAGTAATGACATTAATTTTTCTATTGTTAATCATTATTAATATATTTTATGAAAAGTTTAAAATGTATATGTTGAAAAAAAATCTTGATTTGTTAAGTCTTTATTAAAAAAACAGATTATGATATTTGTCTACCCTGATAAAATGTTACTTTTTATGATTGCACAGAAAGGGTTTGTTTATCTTTACGTAAAAAGTTGCTTATTTATTATTTTTTTATATTAAAGGGCCAAAAGATTATGACTATGATTCTTACACTGGACCCAGATCATGTGGCAGATATCCACAGTGCTATAAAGAAAAAAATTCCTTTATGTTCTAAGTAAGTAAATTTATTTCTATATGAGTGTTTTTGTTTATCTTTTTGTGTGCTTTATTTGTTTTCATAAGTTAAAAATATTTATTCTAAATTACACTGTGAGAAAAAAAATCTTATTTAAAATTAGACTGTGGGGAATTTTAAAACATTATTAAGCTTAAGAATAATTAAAAGATGTATAAAGTTTTGCTAAAATGTATAAAGATGTAAAAAGTTAATAAAATAATCCTGCTTCCTATTGTACCTTTTTCTTATGTTTCAAAATAAAATATGTGAAGAATCAAATTTAGGAAAACTTGAAGTTTTTTTTGTTTGTTCCGTGTTTGCTCTGTTTGTCAGCCTTAAAATTTCTCTTTTGTACTTTCGTTTGTCGTGTTAGATTTTATAAAAAAATTAAAGCACTTATTTCACCAAAAATAGGTGGAGACAAAAGGGTTAAAACTAGTTATAAGAGTCAATACTTTACATAAGTTTTCTTTTTGTTAAGATTTGTGTTCGCGGAGAGTTTTTTCATTTTATCTAAGTATGGTTCTAAGGATTTAACTTGATTACTATAGTTAATAACATATGAGCTGTGATGGCTCAGGGGATAGAGCCTTCGCCTTCCGATGAGGTGAACCCGGTTCGAATCCCACCAATGGCTGGTCGATACGAATCCGCATCCAGCTTGCACCGACCACAGTGCTGACGTGAAATATCCTCAGTGGTAGATGGATCACGGGTTAGAGTCCCTTTGCCGTCAGGCTAATCTTGAAAGGTTCTCGTGATCTTCCTCTCCATGTAACGCAAATGCGGGTTAGTTTCATGAAAAAGTCCTTCCCTTAGGCAAAATTTCTGCCAATCCAGGAGTTCCCTTGTCATCTGGATTGGGTTCAAAATGATAATGCCGAGCGATGAACATTAGAAGTTGTAAACCCGAAAATTGGGTCGTCTGTTCAACAGCAATTCTAAAATTAAAAAAGAATAATAATAACATATATGCTAGGATAGCGTGGTTGGTAGGGCACTAGGCCCATGTTCAAAAGTTCGTGGGTTCGATCCCTGCCATCCGAAGACTCCCCTTGTAGGAAATGGTGACTGATGCACACTAAATCTGTCGAGTCACAAAGTCCTCCATGTTCCCATAACAAATCAAACCTCTGGAGGTACTGTTCTAAGAGTTTCCTTGTCTTTTGGATTGGTTCAAAATTACAAGGCTTACGGAGTTGGACATTAGTAGTTGTAAACCCAAATTAATTCGTAGGTTTAATTTCGCAAATTAGCTGTAAAATCTAGTGAATATAGATGACGATGTTTAATTTTAAAATAAGTGAATATGAATCGCGATGTGTGACTTTAAATTGTGCGATAATAATTTTAAATCTCATTTGCATAAGTAGTAAAAAATAATCTATTTTTTCCCAATTTTCTTTGAATGGGTGAAATTTTTCTTTTTATTTAATTTTTTAAAAAAAGTAAAATTTAGCCAAAACTCACTCTTGAATTGAAAACATAGCNATGTTCAATAGTTCGTGGGTTCGATTCCTGCCATCCGAAAACTCCCCTTGTAGGAAATGGTGACTGATGCACGCTAAATCTGTCGAGTCACAAAGTCCTCCTTGTTCCCATATCAAGTCATACCTCCGGGGGTACTGATCGAAAAGTTTTCTTGTCTTCTGGATTGGTTCAAAATTACAAGGCTACGGAATTGAACATTAGTAGTCGTAAACTCGCAAAATTGGGTGGGGTGTTCAACGATGGATATAAAATAAAAATTAATAACATATTGTTCTGAACAGTTTTGCACAATTTTAAAATATGTTTTTTTTTTAATTTAGCGAAACTTACCAGCCATTTTCGGCCTATCTATAACTTGGCAACCCTGTTATTAATGAATTCATTGCAATATTATTGTTATTTTGTGGTTATGCACCCTTGGGGAGCATGAAGAAATGAGGGTCTGCTGTATTCATTTCAATTTATTATTTATCAATCCTATTACCTGTGTTCCCTTCTATATAAGTAATATAAATTTAAACAGCTCATTTTAAAATGTGAGAATTCCTTTCAAAATATTATTTAGCTTATTTATTTTCTTAAGTATGCTTCATTCTTGCTTATAATCTAATTCTCTTTTAAATTAGTAATCTTTATGTTGTTTGTATTATGCTCATATATATTTGTTTTAGATTACAATCTGAGCATTATGGGAAGGTATATTATGATGCTTGGGTAGATTCCATTAAAACCAATAATGAAGCAATGACAAATGTAATGTACACATTTATTTATTTTTAACACACATGTTTTTTATTAATGCCTTGAATGAGATCAAACTATACTTTCTCTTTATTAGGAGCTTGAGATTTCCTGCATTCAAGATTTTGTTACTATGGCCATATTAAGCAAACCAAAACATACAGTATTTGTTTTAAGAAAGGTATTTAACCAATTCTGCATACTTATATTTCATATGCTTGCAAATATAATTTCAATATTATTGGCACTACATCAATAACTACAAGATCATCTATTCCTTAATAAATTAGATAACTACTGGATCAGCGATTCTTTAAAATAAATATTCTTAAATTTTTATTTTTCACTTTTAAAGTAAACGATGAAATATATTAAATTTCATTACTATGAAAAATAAACATTTGAAATGGTAAGGAATAAAATTTGTTATACCTGTAATGAATGATACCAATATTTGCAAAATACATTACAGTTTAGAAAAAAATAAACAGTATTATTGCAGATTTTTGCAAATTTTCCCTCAAATATAATGTTTTGGAAAATTATTACAAAAAGTTAAGTTTATGTTATACCAGTCCAATTTTTTCAAGAAAAGATTTTATTATTAATTTAGTGACAATCCTTATGTGGATTTTTTAAAGAAAGTTTTGGGTGTCTTTGAGATTTGGAGGTGTGTTAAAGTGTTTCGATTTTGCGATTATTTTGTTATGATCAATTGGTTAGCTTTATAATGGTTTATACACATGGAGGGACTAACCAGAAGAATTAAATAATTCAAAGTTGTCTCCAATTTCTTCAAATTGCTAAGTCACTCAGAGTTTCTGTTTATAAATACATTCAATAGTTATTTACATTCACTAGTGGAATGAACTTATGGTTCACACTGAACCAAGTGAAAACTCATAACATTTCTTCCTCTTCCAGTATGCAAAAAAGACAAGCTTTTAAAGATAATTTTTCAGAAAAAAAATTTGCTGAGAAGAAAACTAAAATTCTTTTTTTCTCAAATAAAAAATCTTTCTTCAGAAACTCTGTAACATTCTGTGACAATGTTACAGTGATTCTGCCCTGGGGTTTGGATACATATCTTTGCCATATTTTGTCTGAAATTTTCTTTTAATTGTTATTCAGTGAGTTTATGCTGTGGTTGCTTCATTCTTAATCTCTTTTTTTTCTCCAGTTGTTAGCTGTTATTCATGCCCACAAGAAAGAAACTTATGTGTCCAAAATGCTCTACCATTTATTTCAGCCTGTTTTGTGGATGTACTTAAAAGTAAGGATTTGTCTGAGTTTTTAAACTAAAATTTAATATTTGCTTGTTCAAACTAAAAGTTAATGCTTGTTCTTAATTGTTTTCCAGCATCCAGATGGGTTGTACAGAGCACATGCTGCAGCACTGTTTTTTGATGTTTTCCCTCTTGAAGATCCGGAGAACAAAATAGTTACCTCTGATCAGGAACTTAATGAGCAGTTTCTGATGATCCAGGTTGATTCACCTTATATATATTTGGGGTTGTTTGAGGGAATACATCCAAGTATGATAAAAGTTATTGCAAAATAACAAAAAAGACTGCTTTGTTTATAAATACACTTATAGCTCGTTCACCAGGAGTTGACACTTATCTCCTCCTTCATCATGGTATCCGATGATACTATTTCGCTATTTTTGGGTGAAGGATGTGAACAATCTTAAACAAGATTGCTATTTGGTGATCCTATGACAAAAAAAATTCTTTCACAATCTATATGTGCATTTTTTTTAACATTAAATATTTCATAAATTTGATGATATTTCTCTCTTTTGACTGAATAGTTTGTCCTTTTTGAGTCATTTTGCCGGGAAAACTGCAGTTTTTTAATTTAAAATGTATTTAATAAGCTAGAGTAGCGAAAGTTATAATAGCAGATGATAAAGCAAAGTAAGTGACTGAATTCACTGTTTGTGTTTGGCGTGCATTAAGGGTTGTCTTAATTTCAAGCTCAGAGATGTTTCTCCTCTTACTCCCTCGATGAAATTAACTCTGCGGCAGAGGAGTTGTAGCCAAGTGCCAACTCCTGGTGAGCAAACTACACTTATTTTGTACTCACAGAAAGGTAACAAAAAAAAGCACATTGATGATAATCTATGTCAATGTATCTGAGGAGAATTCTCGCTCCTGTAATTATAATGAATGAATTAATAAAAAGCATTCTTGCCACAGCCTGCTGTGACCAGGGGGCTCATGGAGGTTAAGGCTCCACAATTTTGTGACCAACCGCATGGTTGTGGCAATGTGGTCAGGCTGTCTTTATTTCCCAGACAAGCTGGTACACAGCGATCTGATGCTGGTTAGTCTTCAAGTCACCACTGAGAATTAAACCCCATTTCTTCACAATGACCGTACTGTGCCTTAACCACTGCCATCGCGGCTCGAAGGAATTAATAGAAAATGCGAATATTCAGCAATATTTATTTTAGGAAAGAAACTTACACGTTCTGAAGTTCTAAGGAAAGCAAAATTTTCAAGTTATTGCTTCGATTTTTCTGAATATGTAACTGATTATACAATATACTGGGCTATTTTATGAAGGAATTTCTTTAATTCTGATTCATTTATGGAATATTGTTAATAAATGGAATAATAATATGATATTACATAAATGGAATAAATTCATTTACAGAATTAACATAATTTAATGTAATTGAATGAAATATGCATCTCCCAACATGTGCTGGAATTTGTAAGCAAAAATTTTTGTTATGGAATTTCTGTTACCAAAAGTTATTTTCAAATATTTTACAATTTATTTTAACATCATACTATTTATTTTAATAGTCACTTAAACTATTTTTGTTAATTGCTATTCAAATTAAAAGTGACAATCTTATTCAAAATTAGTTTTTAAAGCAAAGTGTTTTTGCTCATTCATTATCATATAGATATTCTGTGGTATTACTTAATAATTTAACACTTTATAATAAATATTGAATTAATGTTTTACAATCAATAAATGGTAAGTAACATGCATTTAATTTTCAGTAAGTTATATTAATTTTAATTTATTTTATGCAAAATTGTATGCAGTCAATGTATGCAATTAAAAGTATTAAAATATTTAGTTAAAATTACAAAGAAATGCTATAATTTTTACCTATCGATTATTTAACTTTTTGCACTGTTGCTAACTAATTTCTTTGGGGAGAAATATTTAAAGAGTTTTTATGTAGTATTTAACAATTTAGTAAATAATTATAAAAGAGAAAAAAAGTCTAAGGATAAAGTTGCCATTTTAATGCCGCAAAATGGCAGATTTAAATTTAATCTTATTAAATTTAAATAATGGCAGATCTTCTCCGTGTAGTTGAATTTAGTGATGGAAGAAAGATCTTTCAAACGTGAACTTTGTTATGTGAGACTTTGCCTTTTAGAGAGGTTTGTGTTGTATAGATCATTTCATATATCTTTGACCTTACCCACTAGACATTTCAACATATGTCTGGAACATGTTTAAACAATTAAAAATGATAGATCTTAAAATTCTTTATAATAAATTTTTAACAAAAATATGAACTTAAGTATTCATTTTACCCAAAACAAATTTCTTTTTCTAATTTTTTATAGATTCAAAATAATTACAAAACATTTATCAATTTTGGCGTGTTTGGATATTCAAATTGTATTCTCTTAGTAAATAATTATACAAATAGTGTAAGAAATTAATAGTTCTTGCTTAGTTTTGAAAATTTTCTGACTGTCATTTTTATTGTTAACGCCGGTAAAGTTAATGTGGAGAATCGTGGTTTAGAATCTTCTATTATATTGATCCTCTTTTCCAAATTTATGATACCTGCTGTTATATGGGAATATTATTTTAGTAATGAAGATTTATATGAAATTATTAGTTAAATCAATCTAAGTGATATTTTATCTCAATAAATTAACAAATTATGTCTAAGAATTACTTTCTCTTGTGTTTTTCAGGATCTTCTCATAGATGAATATCCAGTTGTACGTATTACTACTGTGAAAGGTCTCTGCATAACTATGAGTACGAACTGGGAACTCTTTCCTGAAGATGTATGTTTTACTACAATTTAATAAATTAGACCTATCAAACCATTTTAAGTCTATATGTTTCAGCAGTGCAATCTAATCGTTTTAAGATACCAACCATTACTATGAATATAAAACTTTGACCTCATTTGTTAACTTTGCCTTTCAAATTAATTTAGTCAATAAGTGTTAAATTTGTTTGTACTGCAACTTGGTGGAGAGATAAATGTACTGTTTTGCTATGTAGGTGATAGTAGCCAGTTTGTTTTATTATTGTATTAGGCAGGGCTATCTTAATGGCATGTAGGGCCACCAGGCATAAAAACGAACTTAAAAAAAACTTCACATGCATATTATAAATCATATTTAAAATATGATGCAATAATTTTAACAAATTAAACACACTTTGACTATCCCAAAAACTCAAAGCATTTTTTCACTATGCATAATTTAAAAAAAATAAATAAATTAGATGCTAGCCAGTTGTGATCCTTAAATAATAAAATAATAAAATAATTTTCAAAACCATGGAAGTTAATTGAAATAATTAAATTAAATAAACATAATTAAATTTTAAAAAATTCACAAGGTATGAATTATTTTGGTAAACTAAACAGTTATTAAAGCATCTTTCAATGCCCGAGTACCTAAAAGTTTCATTGGAACACAGAAAACTACATTTTGTTTGCCTTTGTAAGTTTTCTGGGTGATAAACTATTCAAATTATTGATGTTTGCATTAAATCAGTCAGTATTTGTAGAGAAAAAATGCACACTTTATACAATAGAATATATTTATTTTAAAAAATATATAAGACAATGTTGTTTGTTTCTTCTTAGCTTTTTTAATACAATTTATAAAAAGGAAGATTCTGAAGGGCTACCTGCTTGGGGCTCTTGGACACTGCCCGGGTGTGTTCATGCGTAAAGATGGTACTGTTATTAGGGGTCATTGTATTTCGAGTGTACCCCGGAATTCCGTATTTTTCATTTCGTCTTCCTGGTCTGAAAAATAGGAGCAAGACATGTGATTTTTTCATAATTCGAAATCTAAAATTTATATTTTGAAATTTTCGGTTCTTATGGGTTGCGGGTTGTCGCCATTTTGAATGTTTGGAACAGCCCCGAATTCGTTTATTTCATTCATCCGTTTATTGATTCTTACTTACGCAATTTTAACATTTAAGCATCGATTTTCATGTTCACCTGATTACAGGGTATTACAGCTTTATTGCAATAGCATTTATTTGTGATCTGTGATTCAAAAGCCATTTCCTCTCTAGCTAATCAAATTTGTCAGTTTTTTACATCTTTAATTTTAAAGTAATATGTTTTCTGAAGAAAAAAGTGGGATTTGTTACAACTTATATAAGATAGTTCTAATCATTTAAAAACTATTCTGTAAGGCAATCCTTATGATAAATTTAAGAAAGACAAAAAATACATTAAGTCGACATTTTTATTAAACATACGGAGAGAGATTTTTAAGGTATGGGTGGGTACCAGTTCTTGGGTGCTTTGCATCTTATCACAAATTATATGGAATCATATAAAAAGCGAAATTTAAGGCGTAACATTTTTCTGTATGTTTATGAATCAAATATTTAGCTGTTTTTTTCTCTTTTTAATAAAGGAAAGTATAATTGTTACACAAATTTTAAGTTAATTGTTTAAATTTCTTCTATGTAATTTTTTAAAGACTGTATTTAAATAAGAATGACAATTTTTTGCATAAAAAAATCTGATTCTATTTTATTCGTAGACACTGAAAACATATTTCAAAATTATCACCAATGAGCTCAGCTACGATTCTTCATCAGCTGAAGTGAGAACTGCTGTTGCAAAGGTAAGTCTCTTTTGGCAATTAATTATTTTGAACTTCAAGAATCTTGAAGTACCAGAGATGCCAACTGCTCCGGATGCGCCAAAATAATTAAAAAAAAACGGTAAATAACTGCAAAGTAAATTTTGCAAATATTTGATTATTTTTTCTTGCTTTTTAAAAGGTATAGCATGACATAAGTACTATAAAGTGGTGAATTGTATAACCCTACAAATTATTTAGAAATAGTGGTAAATAAAAATCTACTAAATTGAATTTATTAAACCAAAAATCTCAATTGATAAATTTCCACTTTAAAATACATATTTGCTGTCCGGAGCAAGTTGGCTTCTCTGAAGTACTATATAGAGCCAAAAATAAAATTAAAATAAAATTCTAGTGGTTACAACTTACATTTGGCACAAAAAGTAATAGTTCTGTAGTTTCTAAAGTCTAACCTGCATAGCTGCATGATCCATTGGAAGTATGTATATGCCAATTTTATTAGCATATCTGTAATTACATATAACTTAGATAGCATATTCAAGTCAAAAGAATGAAAGAAAATTATTAAATAATGAAAGTAAATTAAAAATCTATAAATGAATACATTTAAAAAATATGCACGTTTGATATTTAGGAAAAAATAACAATATTAATTATAAAAAAACCAGCAAAACCTGTTTTTTTTAGCATTTTAGTTTACACGCATTTCGCAAGCCATTTGTTTAGCACTGTTAAGTTTATGGCTTTAACTTTTAGAGTCGGTTTGTTCCAAAATGTTTCTCTAATAAGTTTAAAAAATCCCTAGAGAAGAAGGCTTAAGGAGCAAAAAAAAAGTTAATTAAAAAAAACTAGAAGAATAAAAGAATAGAGAGATAAATAAAGCTGAGAAAATGAATTTTCATAAATTCTGATTGTAATTATAAGACATTAGTTTGGAAAGCTGCTGTGTTTGTAATATCCTATTTTATTTTGAAGCATAAAAAGAAATAGATAGCATTTCAAACAACTCTGAAAACTTCAAAGGGCTTAACTGCATTTTAAGCTTCAATAGATAAAGTTAAGTACAATCATTTAGATCTTACAGTGTATTAAGGTTGAAATTGGTTATTAGACTGAAATATGGAGGATGCAAGACAAGTATTTATTAAACATAAATTATGGCGGAAGAGAATAAAATCCCCCCCCCCTTTAAATAAAGAACAGCCCGTGCATGTTTATGCGAACCTACTAGGTTCATGGTTCTCAATATCTTCCCCACTCTGATCTATCTCCTAGAAAATGACCAGTTGCAGAGGACCTCCGCACTCTGAATGGACAGTTCTCACGACTCCATCTCACCCAGGTATTAGTTAGAGAACAAGGGCTTTACTCCTCAATTGGTGAGGAAAAAGCTCTTCCAGGAGAAGTACTACCTCTCCCTCTTTTTATCTTAAATAACTATTTTGTGTTCCTCACTTCGTGATAGCTTTTCAAATCTAACAAATATTCTTTTGACTGTCTACTCCAAAATACTTTTAAACTTTCGATAGTAGTACTTGTCTCTCCTTATTGTTGGTTAGAAACGAGTTAGTATTAAATTTTTTTTTTCGTAAAATTTTCTTTGGATAAAAAAATTTTATAATTTTGTACAAAAATTTTCAATTCGATAGAAATGTCTCTAGATATGGCGAAATATGCAAGAAGTAAAATGAGCCTCTTTTCAAGTTTGGATCCAAAGTTTGGATCACTTTCCTGATCAAACTATGAAGAGCGTATTTCTTAGATTGCAGCTACCTCCTATATTTTTGGGGTCTGAAATCCAAATATATTGAAAAAAAGGCATGTTTATTCAGAGAAAGAACGTTTTTGTGTTTTATTTTGTAACTTTAAATATCGTCTGCACCAGTTAATTAACATGTTTGAGGTCACCCATTCAAACCATTAAGATTGAGTTCTAGAACGTAAAGATCCGATCATAAGATCCAAAGTTATTCATGGTGGCCAGAGCCGGATTATACCTTTCGTAGGCCCTAGGCACAGAGCCGGATTATACCTTTCGTAGGCCCTAGGCATAGCCGTTTTTGGGCCCCCATTTACTAAAATTT